CTCATTCGATACGTTATTTCCCCCCCTCTTCTCCGCCGCCCGTCGCTTCTGTCCCGCCGGCCTGTCCAAGTGAGAGACTGTCTGTCTCTCTCTGTGTGTGTGTGTGTGTGTGTGTTTGCAAAGTTCCTAACGCGCCTTGATCACGCGTGGATACTTCTTTTCCCTTGGGTTATTCTCTTTCCCACCTGCTTCACTTATATTCCTGTGAACTCCAACGCGCTATTTCTGGACGTGCAAGATCTGGTGTCGCAGCAATCAATTCACTGGCCTGCTCTCTTCAGATTCACTTAATAGTACGTTCCAACAAAAAAAAAAATACACGCACATACGCAACAGAAGGGAGGATCTTCAATCAGCTTCGGCCGCTTTCTATCCAGATCCTCCGGCTTTCTGCCCGCAATCTTTCTTTCTCACTCACACTCTCTCTTTCTCTCTTTTTTTTTTTTTTCACTTTTACCCCCTGTCTACACTACCATCGCGATAATCCTGTCTCTTTCTTTATTTCCTTTTTTTCTCTTTCCCCCCCCATTGTCCTCGTGCGATTCATCCTGTGTTGTTGGCAATCCCCAAGCTCATTGTGTTCTCTCGACGCGTCTGTATAGGAGGAATTGTCAGGGAGATCGCTACCAACCCGCTCGCGGTGAAAACTGTATTATATGGACAACCGACCTGCCACCGAGTACGCGCAGTCAGGTTCGCACTTTCCATATCCACCGTCTGCCGCGCCCCATTCTGAACTCCCCGCTGCAGACCAGGCTTCTGCTGCTGCCACTGCTCAATACACCCCTCAACCTGAGGTCCGCCCGACGCCTCAGTACACCCCCCAGCCCGAGGTTCGCCCCGCCGCCAATATTTCGTCCTCCAACACGCCGCAGTCGGACTACGGTCTGAACCAGCCGCCCGCCGCGCGCTCTCCTGCTTATCCCGAGTACCTCGCCCGCCCACCTCAATACCACCACGCGCCCAACACCCAGGCTGGTGGTGCGGCAGGTATGGCTCAAGCAACAAGTCCGTCCATGCACACCCTCAGCGATGGGCAACACCATGACCATCGCAACCACACGAACGTGAAGTCTGACGCGGCCGTTCCTATAGATCCCTCAATCGCGGCATCCAGCCCCACCTATCCTCCCCCCTACTCGCCCTACCAGCCCCAGGGCCACGAAATGGCACAGTACCAAGGCCACCCCCCTCCGCCTCCTCCTCAGATGTATACGCGTCCGGAATGGTCGCATGGATATGGACAACATCAACACGGCCTGCCTGGCCCATATACCACTCCTGCCACAACGGTTGGTCCCGCCTCCCCTGCTGCGACCGCAGGGCCGCGCCCTGGCCAGGTATGTGTTTGATGACTTTGGCGTCTGTTTCCAAAAGGCTGCGCTTTGGCGTTGGTTTCTTGTCTTGGACACCTCCCGGAGCCAGGGCTGCTGCCAGGCTGCCCTTTCGGGATGGGGGAAGCAGCGCACTTTTTCATCTACCGTGGCAAGCAAGATCATAGGCTCATTTGGCGTTTTTCTCTTTCTAGGTGTACTCGTTCGTTCCCATCCCCGGTGCGCAGCAGCATAAGCGGCCCCGTCGTCGGTACGAGGAGATCGAGCGTATGTACAAGTGCGGATGGAACGGGTGCGAAAAGGCATATGGTACTCTAAACCACCTAAACGCTCACGTCACGATGCAATCACATGGTGCGAAGCGGACGCCAGAAGGTGAGTTGGTTGATTTCCCCCTCGCGTTTGAGACCTTTGAGACCCAACCGCGACCACGCACCTGTTGTTTTTGTTGGTCGCGAACATCTGGATTGGGCTAGTGCGGGTGGCACGCGCTAGTCGTGTTACACTACCTTAGCGCCGCGGATCGCAGTAGCGTGACAAGCCGGTGCGGAGGTTAAGTCGCTCGACTAGTGTTTCTCCATCTGGCTTGCCGGCCCCGTGTTGCCTTCACTTCCCCCGTCTATCATGTCCCTCATTCACCCCTCCCCTCCACCATCATTCGCCGTACTGACCCATCTCTCCCGCAGAATTCAAGGAAATCCGCAAGGAGTGGAAAGCCCGCAAGAAGGAGGAAGAGGCCCAGCGCAAGGCTGCCGAGGAGCGCGAGCGTGCCGCCGCGGCTCAGGCTGCCCAGGCCAACCAGGTGGATGCGCCCAACCCTGCTGATCCCGCACAGGCTGGGCAACCTCCTGCCTACCCTGGCGGTGTTCGTCCCCAGCTACCTCCGATTGGATACCAGCCTGCCGACGGTCAGGTACCTGGGCAGTATGGGGCTGGTGCTGGTGGCATGGTTTACCAGGGCAATGGGCAGATGGCCTACCCTCCGAACTATCCCCACTCCCCGTACGGACAGACCGGCCAAGTGTATCAGCCACGTAAGTAGTCAGTCCTTTGTTATGTTTGCATTACCAGGACCGGGTCATGAGGAGGCCTCGAAAGAGACCAGAACCAAAAAAGAAAAAAAAGAAAGAAGACACCAACGGGATACACCACCATTACACCCGGATGCCAAGGACCCCACAATGCCACAGAGGTCTTTGGATCTATTGCTGTAAGGTCAGTAGCTGATCGATGATGGCTTCGCAGAAAACCAATCGACCAGCTACCCGCAATAGATGCCCAGCTTCCCTTACTTCTTTCAGGTTGCATGTTCTAATACAATATCTCCTAATCCCGTATCGCCATCCCCGGATCTAATTCTCTAAGTTCCTGCGCACATGATACCATTTTCTGGCCTTGATTGCCCCAGTCAAAAAGAGTGGCCTTGCGACTTACGCTTCTGTCCCAGTTCTGTTTTTTTGAGTTAGACTGCATGGGGAAAAAAGGATTAATCGAGGGGACTTGTTGTTTTTCACTCCCTACGCAACCACCGGCGATGGGATTACGACTTGGGATATCAGGCGGGTCTTCTGCATTATTATCGAGCTCTTTTCCAATTCTTCTGTGATTTATGCGGAACCTGTTTCTACTACGTGTGCTCTTCTATGTTTGTGGTTTCCTGCTATGATTCTTGTGACTTTCCTCTTCCGACACCTCTTTTCACCGTGCCCGTGTACTCTTCTTCCCGTGTCTTATGTTCTGACCAAACTTATGTTACCCTGGGTTTTTGGTCCCCGAAATTGTGCAATATTCTTGTCCATGTCCTTGCTCTTGCTCCATGGGCCCGTGATGGTCATGGTCTGACGGTGGAACTCCTCGGATTCTGATGCACATGGTTCTCCTCCCGTCTTCCGTCTGGGGATGATGGATGATCTGTTGTGGCGTGCCGGTTGGGAGGCGACGCTGTTCTCGATGGCAGGCGTTGTATCCGCGGCTGCAGGCGAGCCGATAGTGGGTGGTAGTTACTTGATTCAAATGACAATGGTTCGACTGCATTGTTCAGACAGCGCTGGAGTAGGTGAGAGGATTTACATCAAGAGCACCGAATTATTTCAGCAAGAGCCGCCGAAGTATCTGCATGCAGATGGTGCATTAGCGGTTCGGGGTCTGCAGGCGCCGCCTGCTGTAGTAGACTTCATAGCACGCCCCGTAATATTTCCGCAGGATGGGCAGGTATGTACCTAGTAACTTTAATAATCGGGCTGCATCACTTCCAGGGGGGTGGGTATACAGACTAGTGGTGTGACTAGTCGGTATGTAAGTGCTAGGGTGGGTGGATGGTGGTGGTGAGGACCAGGAGTCCAAGCTCCCCTGCAGTAGTTCGTGTGTTGTAAGTAGGACGATGGGTGGTGTCTACCTAGGTGGTATAACTATAGTAGTCTGTATGAGGTACAACGGAAGTACTAGCTAAGGTAGATAGATAAGAAGTATGGCAGATCCGACACATGGTCCGGGAATGTTTATTTTTATTTTTATTATTATTTCAGTTCATGTTATCCGAAAGATCAACAATAAATCAGGGGTTTGTTTGTTTGTTTGTTTTTGTTACTTACTAGTTCAGGGCACGGGAAAGCCGAACACAACAAACAATGATGAGGACATGACATGTTCTGGACCTGATCATCTGACTGACTAAGTAGCATCTTAAGGTAACTAGTTATAGCCATTTTAACTATAGATAGATACGGGAGTGCGATACTGGTTCTGGTCGAACTAGCGGCTTCCCCGACAGTTACTAGCGAGTACCTGAACCCCAGGTCGATAAGTTACTAGCTGACGGCTGACGGTTCCCTCCCTGACTTTTCCCGGTTGCCGTCTTAGCGGCCGTTGTGAGGCGTTCCGTTGGCTTGGATGCCTGAGCCCAGGCCGCAAGCCGCCGCACGCCTCCGATGTACTTACTTACTTGATTTACTAGTATTTGGTGGTACTGCTACTCCTAGCCGCGTAGGGCTGACTTTATATGGCCTGAGGCAGGCAGACACGTACCTGGCCTGGCTTGGCTAGTACTAGTTGTAGTTAGAATGTCTTTGAGTTTGGTCTGATTCATGCTACTATGTATGTACTAGTATCTGTAACCTACTAGTATGTGTCTCAAAGGCCTTGGTGCCTGAGGCCGACATACCTTAATAATGATGCCTGAGGCATCACATATGTTTTGGTTCTTCATGCCTGAGGCATTAGCCGGAGCGGAGTTACTTACCACGATAGTCAGCCACTGAGCTAGCCCGACTGGACCTAGCCCCGATAGCGATAGGTTGCGGCGACTGAGATTATTCTTCGGAGGTGCTGAAGGAAGATTTACCTTTTCCCCAGTTCACGGGCTGCACCTCTCTTTCTTGCATCTTGTTGTTTTCTGTCCCGAGGCGAGGCATTTCATCAATTCAGTGTATAGCGTCTTGCCTGATTTGGTTTTCTTTTCTTTTTTTTTTTCCAGTCAGTCTCTTGTTCCGAGTGAGTGAGTGAGTGAGTGAGTGTTTTTTCTCACGCCACTGAACGTTTCCTGGCGGACCTCCGCAGTCTGGTCTCTGGTCCTTTTCCCCTCGAAATTTCTTCGTCGGTCAGCTAGCTGTTCGCATTTCGACGCACGGACACAGCTCGAGATTTGGACTTTTTTTTTTTCAAGTGGGCTCAGATATTTTATATTTCATATCTCACGAGTCGACTTCGCTCTTTAGATGCTTCGGTGCGCAAATCCCAATGCGCTCCGGACGGGCGCTGGGAGATGCATGGCATCGGCCGTGCCCATGCCCATGCCCATGAGACTCCCCCTCGGCGCGCAATCGTCCCAAACCCTAGTCCGTAATCAATACCGTCTGAGACCGGTGCGGATTGGAGGCATATTCTTGAGATACATGTCGGGGGATGCGGTGGGATCTCCGGTTGCGCGGTCTGACGATATCTCCTTTTCCAATTCCAACGACAACGATAAATCTAACGATATATCCAACGACAACTCCAACGACAACTCCAACGACAACTCCAACGACAACTCCAACGACAACTCCAACGATAAATCCAACGAGAACGACAACTTCAACGGCAACGACAACAAGGATATCGGCGGTGGGAAGAAGCCGCAGCGTCCGGAGTCGAGCTTGATCATGATAAAGGAGGACCCAGTGGCCCATCCGGCTAAACATGCGCCCCGCACTCGTGTGCCCTATATGCCTCGACCGCGGCTGAGGGATGGCGTGAAATTCCCGAATCCGTACCAGATGGCTCAAGTCCAGAATGTGCTGTTTGCGTTGGCGACGGGGAAGACCCAGGCGTCTGCGCAGGGGACGATACCGGAGAAGCATTTGAAGGCGCCGTTTGACATGATCAGGGAGGAGTTGAAGTGGTTGAAGGACCCGGAGATGCTGGCGAAACGCGTGCTTCAGCTGTTGAAGGAGGGGAAGATCGCGTTCGGTGTGGGTATGCTTCGTCAGGCGCAGGTCGAGAAGAGGAAGAATGTCGAGTGGGCTTGGAATATCTTGTTGAGGTTCTGCTTTGAGAGGGATGCTCCTGATGCGGCGTATAAGTTTTATAATGATGTGGGTTTTCCCTTCTTCCCTTCCCCCCCCCCTTTACTCCGGGTTTTCAATACCCTGCAGCTCCTTTGAGGGGGTTGTGCAGGTTGATGGCTCGAACAGTGGCTGACCATTTCTGCTGCTGTAGATGAAAAAACGAGGATGTCGCCCGGATCTACGATGCTACACGATTATGCTGAACGGGTTTGCCGGGGTCAAGAATAGAGCGCTCTTGAATCCCGTGAAGGTCGCCCTGTCCATTTACCAGTCAACCACTAAGGCGGACAGCAAATTCGAGCCTTCCATCATCCACAGCAATGCGATGCTCAAGGTGTGCGCCGCTCACTCGGATATGGCTACTATGTGGAAGGTTGCTGGCGATCTACCGGAGACTGGTCCGAGCTCTCCCAACAACCCCACCTACAATACCATATTACAGGCGCTCATCAATGTCACGAAAAAGGATGTGGAGGCAATGGATCCTACGAATGTCGATGAAATCATGGCCAGAAAAGCAGAGGCGTTCATGGATGGCAAACGGATGTGGGGCGATATCGTCTATCGGTGGAAGACTAACCAGCTGGTGGTCGACTCCATGCTCGCTTCGATGATGGCCAAGCTGATGAAGGACACCGCCACCTCCGATCACGATTTATGGGAGGTTTTCGCTCTCCTCAAACAAACGTATGGGATTCCGATTCTCATGGACGAGCCCCCGAAGCCTGTGGTCGAGAAGCCTAAGGCGACCCCACCCCCGCCTACTGATATCGTCAATGAAGAAGATTATGTCCCGCTTGTGGAGGAAGGCGAGCTAGAGGAGCCTTTTAGGGTGGAGGAGGCGGAAGAAGAAGAGGAGAGCTTTGAGGATCTCTTCGCCCCGGTTGTTAACGTTGAGGGTTCAGTGGTGAAAAAGCATTTCGCCCCGGATAACTATGTCCTGATGACGATTCTCGAAACTTGCATCGCTCTCACCCAGGGTGTCGGTCCCGGAAAGAGATACTGGGAACACCTTACAGACCCAAAGAACGAGAGGGCGTTCCAGCCAGACAGGCTAACATATAACAACTATATGCGCCTTCTCCGACTATCCCGGTCCAGTCGGATGGCCCTCGAGCTAGTACAAGAGATGGTGTCCAAGAAACAAGCAGAAGGGAAGCTATTTCATATCGCATTAACCGTCTGCCTGCGTGACCGTCGAAACTGCAATGTGTTCAAGACCGCGAATGAAATCATGCGGCTCTTGGGCGAGTGCCTTGTACTCACCGACGAACGGGCCCTGATGGATTATATGAGACTGGCCGATATTTTGGCCGAGACCCCGCAAACCCTGGCGCATCTCAACGGCCTTGATGATGCGGGGAAGAAGAGCGAGAACGGGGGCGGAGCCGGCGTAGTCGACAGACAGAGGGCGAAGATGCTTACCATCGCAGCGGAACAGTTACTGTCTCACATCACCAAGCTCGACAAAGCCGTGGATCATTACGTCCTGCAGGAGAACGCTCTGCCTGCGCGCACCCACGAACCCCGTATCGATCGCTCGAGGGCGGACCCCGTTCGCGCCATCAGAGGCTCCGATGCCCATCGGGTTTTGGCCCACGCGGGACTGTTTTTGCGCGAGGTGTTGAAGAAGTACCAGAATGAATTCCCTACCGCGACCCGCTGTGCCATCCAGGACGCAGTTGACAGCCTGAAGAAGTACTCCCAGCAAGAGGTGATGCTCCAGTGCCAGAAGCGATGGGTGTCGCCGACCCCGGAACAGCTTCGCGAATATCAACTCCGAGTCAACGGTCCGATTACAATCCGGAGAGGATGAGGTTGAGGAGGCATGATGGTCATTTAATCTCCTGTCATCTATTGTTTGTTTCTGTAGCATAGGTGGGGGCGTTGGTATCGGTATATAGCCATTTTTTTGTATAATAGAAGGGAGAGGAGGAGTGGAGGGGGTAGGTCTCTTCCACAGTATCTATTGTTTCTCCTCTGTATGGGGTTCCATTGATGTATCCAAGTGGTAACTATCTATTTAGTTATGTGATGTGTGATATACATGATACATGAAGGCGTTTCAGAGCCGCGTGGGAGGGTCTTTCCGCCTGCCGGATTCAGCCCGTGCTGGCGTTGCGTACGTAAGGAATGCCACTCTAGCCTCTTTCCAGCTCCCCCAGCTTCCCCATCGTCATTCTCTCGCCCAACTCCTCCCTCCGTGAACCTCTGCCTTCTCATCCTCTGGGTACAGCCGGCCTGTCCAGGAACCTTCCACATCTGTCTAAGCGGGCGATGTCCCTGGTGCCGTGACCGAACCGTTCCTGAACCCGACAACCGGGACAACATCCTCCCTCCCTCCCTCCCCCTCAACTCCGTCGCCATGGCCAGCGCACACGCACACTATCCCCACGAGGATCTCCCTGACGATGAATCGATCCTGGACGACGATGTGATCGACGCCGACGATGGTGAGTTTGTCTGTTGGTCTCTGTTCTGATATCATCTCCATCTCCTCTGTTGTTGTTGTTGTTGTTCTTCTTCCCGACCCATCCACTCACACACGTCACTCTCCGTCCCTGCAGCTATCGATGCCGACGACCCCTTGAATGATACCTCGGATACCGCCCCGCTGCGAGGCAACATCCAGCCCGAGCCCTCCAGCTCCCGCGCCGCAAACCTCTCCGGAAATTACCTGACCTCCTCGATCCCCGGCGAGGACCGCCGCGCCACCCAGAGCACCATCGATGAGACCGTCTGGGAGACCGTCTCGCGCGACTTGCGCGCCGTCTGGGAGAAGATGCGGCAGGTCCTGTGGCCTAAATACCTGATCGGGGGGATGCTGCAGCGCGGGGGTGGTGGCATCGGTGCCGCCGAGCGAGGCGAGGCTACGGGCTTCGGCGGTGGATTGCGCAATATGGTGGGACGTTGGCCTGATGCCGATGTCGTCTTGCAGGGTGGTATGAGTGAGGGTCTTAGGGATTGGGATCTCTGGTGAGTTGGACTGGGTTCTTGTCACTTAGGGGGATGCATGCGCGTGGGTGGTGCTAACTACATGCTTCTACGTACTAGGGGCCCGTTGATTTTCTGCCTGCTCCTGAGTATGTTCCTGTCGATGCGCGCCAAGGAGGACCAGGCGTCGCTGGTCTTCTCCGGGGTGTTCTCGATTGTGTGGATCGGCGAGGCGGTGGTCACGCTGCAGATCAAGCTGCTTGGCGGTACTATGTATGGTGATCCCTTCCCTGACGTCGTTCGGGTTGCTGACGCTCCGGGTCTAGCTCCTTCTTCCAGTCGGTCTGTATTATCGGATACACGCTCTTCCCTCTGGTCATCGCCTCTGTCCTCAGTGCCTTCGGTCTCCCGACCATTGCCCGGATACCGGTTTATCTCGTGCTGATTGCGTGGTCGTTGGCGGCGGGCGTGAGTATTCTGGGCGGCTCGGGGGTGCTTCGCAACCGGGTGGGCATTGCGGTCTACCCGCTGTTCGTGTTCTATATTGCGATCGGGTGTCTCTGCTTTATTAGTTAGGGGGGTGGAGGCTGTAAGGAGAGAACCGGGATTAGTGGTGGTGGCAGGAAGTGGCGGGGACGACGCGAAAAGGGAGAGGCTGTTGGTTTTGGCGTGGACTGCTTTGCTTCTGTTCCGTGTTTGTATGTTCTGCGATAGAGTATTTCGTCAATTTCCGATATCCATTTCGTTCTGCCCGAGTAAATGGGAGAGGCGTGCTGTGTTGGAGAGAGGAAGTGGGAGAGAAAGAGAGTAACGAGCGGGGTGGCAGGCGGGCAGGCGGGCAGGCGGGCAGGCGGGCAGGCGAGCGGTGACCCAGCGACGGGCCAGCCAAACCAAACCGCCTGACAACAAAGCACTCCGTCACCCGCTGGCGTTCGTCTTCGTCGGGTCTGCCCATCAATCCACTTCCTCCCTCATCCTCGGCCATCCCTCCTATATCCCATTCCATTCCCTCGCCACGGCCGACCCTCTCGTCTCCCGCTCTCTGCGACCCTCTTCTCTGTCGCTGTGTCTCTCGCCTACCCAGAACACACCCCCGCCCGACCGACCGTCCGCCACCAGCTCTGACCTGATCCGACCCGACCTGACCTGACTTGATCTTCCCCTCAGCCTCAGCGCCTGCTGTCTGTCTGTCTGTCTGTCCGTCCGTCCGTCTCTGTCCGTCCGGGCCCCAAGACATCCACCTCAATCTGCATGCTTCACTCTTCTCTGTTCGTACCCTTCCCCCCTCCTGAGTCCCTGCTCTCTCCACCTGCTCCTGAGCATATTATCCCCCCTCCCCGTTCGACCGGCGGGTAGCAAGCAGCAGCGGTAGCAAGCAGCAGTCTCGCATTGCGGATGCAACCCACTCACCCACTCACCCACCCAGTGGGCCTGTTACTTGCCTACCTGCCTACCTGCCTGCCTGCCTGTCTGCCTGTCTGCCTGTCTGCGTGTGCTGTGCTGTGCAGCGCTGTACTGTAATTCCCACTATCTTGCGCCTATCCAACCACCACCATCATCCTCCACTTGCTTGCCTGCCTGCTTACCTGCCTGCCTACTTACTCTCTTCCCTACTTGTGTGCAAACATTTCTATCTTGCGCTATGCTGTGCTATGCTCTATAATTTTACATCAATGGACTAACGTTATCTTCCCGCTCCATACAGAGACTTTCTTCGCCCGAAGCGCCTGCAGTGAACCGATCTTTTTCTTTTTCTTTTTTTTTTTCTTTCCTTTTTTTTTTCGATATCCTCGACTCGACCTTTATTATAATTTGTGATTCGCTGTTCGATATGGCGGCGTCAGACTCGTACCGGAATGGTGCGGTCGTGGAAGGTATTTTTTTTACGCTTTTGTTTTGTTTAATATGTGAGGGGTTGGTGGTGGTGGTGTCGCGGGGAGAGAGAGGGATGGGGTGGGGGTGGGGTTGAGGTTGTCTTGTGTTGTGATGTGCTGTGCTGACTGGTTCGCGTGGTAGATGAAGTCATGAGGGAGTCATTGGAGCAGTGTCAAGGTATGTGGGATATTCTTTCTCTCTATCTCTCTCTCGGGTTGTGTGTGTGTGTGCGCGCGCATGTCAATTGGGTCCGACGGATAGGTCCTTTGCGCTATTTGCTTCTCGCTTATACTGACGGAACTTTCTGACAGCCGCAGAAGACTCGCAAGCCTCTGACAATGACGGTGGGGAGCGCCCAGTCCGGAACAAGCTCAAGGAAACCTCGATTACCTCGGCACCTAAGCACACCACCGAAGAGAGTGCGAACGCGCAGGATGGCGATTCGAGTAGGAATAGCAGCCGGGGTAGGAAGCGATCGTTCGATGAGGATCAGCCTGAGTATACTGAAGACGACCAAGGCCATAGACGGAAGCGCTCGCGCGACTCGGCCACCGAGGAGGAGAATGCGAATGCCGAGGCCCAGCCACAGGAAGCGGAGGAGCTCTCGAGGAAGATTCTGAGCCCGAAGAAGAAGAGAAGCAGGGATCAATTGGATAAGGACGAGTCCAAGGCTGGCGATGCCGCGGAGAAATCGAACCACAAGGCTGCGGAGGAGGTGTCGACAGAGAAGTCTACTATGGAGGGACAACCCGAGAAGAAGCGACACACGGATGATTCCCGAGCGGAGGCGGTATGTATTATGGGCAATTGTGCTGTGAGGCGCGTGAGCTGATGTGTCTGGCAGGCTCCTCTTACTAGTGCGTTTGCGAATACGTCCTCTGTTTCGCCGTTTGGAGCCATTGGCGCAACAAAATCGAGGGAAGAGTCGAAACCGAGCGCAGTCACCTCGCCATCTGCTTTCGCCGCGTCAAGCTTGTCTGCGTTCGCGAGCTCGGAGCAGTCGCCCTTTGGCTCTCTGGGAGGCGCGACCTCTGTCTTCAAGTCCCCCGCGTCGACGGAAACCCCCAAGCCGGCCACCACGGGATTTGCTGCTGCTGCTGGCACCTCTGGATTCGCGGCCATCGGGTCGGGATTCTCAGGGTTCAGTGGTGGTTTCGGGTCGTCGAGCTCGACGGGTGGTCTGACGAGTTTTGCAGCTCCTGCTGGGCCCAGCGTTCTGACCAGCTCGAAACCCGCCGCTTTCGGCGCCCCCGAAGACGAGGAGGAGAAGGAAGAGGAGGAGGAAGATGGCGAGACAGGCCCGGGCGAGTTCGAGCAGGACAAGACGGACGAACGGTTCTTCGAGCGGCCGAGTAAGTGATTGCGTGTCTGTCCGCGATGGTACTATCTAACGCATCTGCGCACAGTCGAGACGGGAGAGGAGAACGAGAAGACGTACTTCTCCTGCAAAGCGAAGCTGTTCCAGTTCTCGGACAGTGAGTGGAGAGAGCGCGGCATCGGGACCTTTAAGGTCAACGTGCGAATCACCGACGGCGTCGAGGACAAGAAAGCGGCCCGCATGATCATGCGCGCGGACGGCGTGCTGCGCGTGATGCTGAACGCGCCCATATTCAAGGGAATGACGGTGGGTGATGGCGAGGGCAAGGAGCCCAAGTCCAAGCAGATTCACCTGGCCAGTCTGGAGAGCGGCCGCTCAGTTCCCATTCTGCTTCGGGTAGGTTTAGCCCATTCTCTTTATGACAGACGGGAAATGTACTGACGTGAAAAGACGGGACACGAGGACCTGTCGAAGGAGCTGTACCGCGTCGTGCGTGAGCTCCAGGAATACCAGTGAGAGATTAGACACTCCTCCTCCGGAGTACCGCGAAACGAAAAAAAGCGTCCGTAATAAGCCGAGTTGAGATGAGACGCCTACATAGCAGATCGGTGTGTGGGTTGGCATTTTGCATTTGGGCCCGAGGAGTCAGATTGGCGGGTGTGTTGCGTTGTGTGCGTTGCGTTGCGTTGCGTGGGTTGGGGGGGGGGTTGCGCATTTGCAGGATCAGGATCAGGATCAGGATCGATTTGATTTGCAGTCTTATACACATTACAACTCTCTTTAGCATTTTCTTCGTGTATGTTCTTTTGGTTTATGTGGATCATATCAGACTCGGACTTACATTGGACTGCTGCTCTACCTGCTCTACCTGCCTGCTTATTATGGTTTGTAATGACCTGGGATATGGTACAGTGTACAGTGTACAGTGTACACTGTATCTACACTGCGTGACTGTATACTATCTAGTATATGGACCACGAAGTTAACTACAGTGGGTGATGCATGCTGATGCTGTGATACCAAATGCATCAGAGTCAACTCAAGACCAGATCAGATCCCCTGCTTATCCCGATGTGGTTTAGATTAATCATTAGTTATTAATTATTGACGATCGCTGTCGACGGTAATCTTATTCTTATTCTTATTCTTATTCTTATCGGGGACTGGGAGTGAGTGAGTGAGTGAGTGAGTTGGACGTCAGTCAACTCAGTTCAGTTCAGTTCAGTTCAATTCAGTTCAGTCCAGTTCTGGTGGTGCCGTGCAGATCTGTCGTATACTAATACTAATACTAATACCAATACTAATACTAATATCAATTGCTACCTACCTTACTGCATAGACTATAGATAACTACTCCTCCGTACATAGATTAGATTAAGTACGGATACTGTAATCTGGATGGATAAACTATAACTAGATAGGTACTAACTATACATTACCCCCTTGCTTGAACACGGCTGCACTAGGTATTTAGGGAGGATAGATCTAGATCTTATTCGCGATCTGGATCTATGGATCTACTTACATACTTACATATCTACTGGTTGGTTAGTGGTTGGTTAGTGGTCAGTGTTACAGGATCTGCGATCAGTACTCCGTACATTCTGCAATCTGCATTCTGCATTCTGCATGCACTGTCCACTGTCCACTGTCCACTGTCTACGTACTGACATTCACGAATCACCATCTATCTATCTATGTGATAAACGTATCTAGTCGTTCTCTGATTCTGTCTATCATTCCCCTAGATAATCAGCTATGTATTTAGGTATGTTAATCTAGTAACCCGGTTGGGAATTGAAACCGTCCAAATCGTCGTAATGTAGCCAGGAAGGAAGCAAGGAAGTCAGTCGCTGGATAACCAAGCCAAAAGTCAAGAGAGTCGGGCAGATCATAGCAAAAAAGGAGAAGAAGAAGAAGAAAAGGAAGAAAAAGAAGAAGAAAGAAAAGAAGAAGAAGAGGAGGAATAAGAAAAAAAAAAGAAAAAGTAGAAGAAAGGAAATCCATAGCAAGAACGCAATCCAACATAACACCCACGCTCACAAACCCATACCCAAACCCAAAGCCAACACCCTCAAAAACCAAAAATTCCATCCACAACATTGAATCCGAATCTACTGCGTCTTAACCAGCCACCCCACAGCCCCCAACAACCCCCCGCAACCCCCACCGTCAAAATCCACGCGCCCGCTCGATCCCCCGCCGTAATGGGCCTCTGCTTCGACGGATCCCTCTCATCCCCACTCGTATCAATGTGATGTTCGGCGCCGCCCGGATTCTCCACGATCGTCTGCGGCGACCCCCTCCCCAACAGCATCAGATTGGAGGTGACGCCCCCCAGCGCACTCATCTGCACCTCCAGCCCAAGCGACCCGTCCCACCCGTCTTGGTGCCACCGCACCCCGCACAGATTGTCTAGCCCGTTGGCGCTGCCCGTGCATTGCCGGCCGATGGCCTCCGCCGAGCCTTGCAGTTTGGGGACTATGCGGTCGGACGTCGAGGGGACCAGGATGGAGGTGAAGGCGAGCCACATGGCCACGTAGCCTTTGAAGCAGAGTTGGTTGCGGTCGCAGGACAGGATCGGCTCGCAGGCGACTTCGGAGAGGATCGTCCCGTCCGCGAACGAGGTGGGGAAGAAGCGTGTGAAGGTTGAGTCGAGCAGGGAGTTGACCCGGTTGAGCCAGGTGGGGGAGCCGTTTGTCTGGTTTTGGGGGTTAGTGAGTTGGATGGAGGGAGAGAAGGAGGAGGGAAGCAAAGAAAGGAACAGGAGAGGGAGGAGAGAAGGAAGAGGGGGAGGGGAAATTCACATAATTATACATAAACGCCGCCCCCGCCAAATACGTCCCATAATTATACGACCACTGATTATTACCCGCATCCTGACAGCCCGCCTCATTCGACGTCGAGTCGGCGATATTCCACGTCAAGCCAGCCGACACATTCGTATCCAGGAGCGGCGTCGTAGCCGACCAGTCCCAGATCTTCTCGGCCCACTGCGCATACGTCTCGTTCTTGGTGAACCGCGCCAGGCGTGCCGACAGCTCGAACAGCCCGCCGTTCGAGATCGCGTTCTTCATCGTGTACCCCGCCTGGTACGGCCATACCTGCCAGCGCATGCCGCCGTGGCAGGCCGTGTCGTCCCAGCGGTTGATCTGCATGTTGAAGACGGCGCGCGCCAGCGACGTCCAGGATGGCTTGTTGGAGACTTCGGGGAAGCCTGCCTCGGAGGCGGTTATGGCCGCGAGGCCCCAGAACATCTGGTCGTCGTTGCCCTGAGATTCTTTAGCTGGATGGGGGAGGATGAGAGGAGGGAAGGGGAGGGAACGTACGAGCCACTGGCTGTAGTTGGCAGAGAAAAAGTCCGAGTTCTCGCCCGCTTGGAACATCAGGTCGTGCTGCACCACCGAGTTGTACGTGTCCACGCCCGACGCCTGCCAGAACTGGATCAGCGTCATGAACATGCTGCCCGCGATGTACCAGGTGTCGGTCAGTTTGCCGGGGATGCCTTCGGTTTGGTTCTGCTTGTAGAAGGTCATCATGGGCTCCGCGATGGCGACGCCGGCGTTGGTGAGGGAGTCTGGATTGTTTGCGGGTGTGGTTAATGGAGGCTCTGCTATAGATTAGAGGCAGTGGGGGCATGTTTGACATACCGGCATCGTTGACTTGGATGTCCAGGGCCGAATGGGCCAGCTGGCTGTGACACAGGAGGAGGAAGAGGGCCCCTAGAGAGTGAAGAAGGCCGCGCATGGTTGTTGTGGTACTGGTGTGCTGGTTATGGTGGTGGTGGGTGGTAAACCAGCGTGAAAGAGCGATCTTCTATCCACCCAGGTCGAGTCGAGGTCGAGGGGAAGAAAGTGCGAGCAGATGGACAGAAACCGATCGAGGCACAGAAAACATCATCGTCCCAGCAGGCAGCCATGATGCCATGATGTCGTGGAGGATTTCAGGGGGACGGACTGAGACGCCAAGGGCGATGCCTCCCTTGGCACGCCCGGCCAAGAGCGCAACTGTTGGGTTGCGAACGAGGCCCAGAGGGTCCGGCGGAGGGACGAAGGGGCGCGGCGCTATATTTGGGTTCGGGGAAATGGTACAAAGAAAGAAAGTGGGATGGCGAGAACAGGAAGGACAGGAAGGACAGGAAGTAAATGCAAATCAGGGTCTGGTCCCTTTTCTTCCCCGGATTCAGACGCTGCACCGGCCTTGATTGGCAGTTCGTTGAAGGGAGGTGCCACTTGGGTTGGCCCGCCCTGCCACTAGTCTGAGTTTGACAGCCCCGTCAAAGCAGTTCATTCATTTCCCATCTAAAATTAGACCACAACCCTCTCTGCACGACTGGTTCGAAATAATCGCCTGTCATGGTGCATATCTACCTGACTGATAAAGAAAAAAAAATCAAATGCAAAAACAAATCGACTCGACCGGGACGCGGCTCGAACGCGCAACCTTTTGTGCCGAAAACAAACGCGCTACCATTGCGCCACCCGGCCAGACATCATGACTAACCAGGTCCGACTTATGCACACCTGCCCCGTACCGGCTGCATAGTGCATACCCAATACCTTACGCTAGTCCTGTTGGGGTAATATTGCTTGCACGTGACAGCGCGTTTCTGGCCATCCACCGCCCGCTTCGTCCTCGCAAGACGCCCCGCCCCCCGGCAATCACGATGGGATGCCAGCATGGCCGGTCCAGGATCACAGCCGGACCGCCCAACCCCCGCAGCAGCAGGCAGGAAAAGACTCCGCGCTGATCCTGATTCCGAGACAGCCGCCAACACCAGCGCGTCCCCAACCCCCCCTCCCCCAGGCAAAAGGAAACGCCGCGTCACCTCTTCTCAAACCCCGGCAGAGACGCCGGGGCCAGAAGACAGCGGTAATGGCGACCAGCCAGCCCAGAAGCCGAAGCGAGCGAAACGAACCCCCTCCTCACCATGGCCGGAGGCGTTCAAGGCCCTGTCCCGGACCCACCGCGCCCTGAACCTGGTGTACACGTTCTGCTGCACGCGAAAGCACTTCGCCACGACCTTTGATAACATCAAGAAGGCGGTGCAGGCCCAGATGCAGGGCCAGGAGCTGACGGTGGAGGATGTCGCGCGGGTGAAGGTGCTCGTGCCGCGGGCCGTGCGTTTCGAGTACGTGGACGAGGCGAAGCTGGAGGTCATGACTGTGGGGGAGAAGGAGGTGAGGGAGCTGGGGTATGGGCGGGATATGGGGGGTGAGGGGAAAGAGTCGGGGGTGAAGACTCTGCTGTTTGAGCTGCTGGATGGGGACCTGAAGAGGGAGGTGAAGCATCCGCAGACTGGGGAGCCGACGAAGCCGGTGCGGAAGATGAAGAACGAGGACCTCAAGATGCCGGTGTACAGTCAGAAGCAGATGCTGGGGCTGATTGAGAAGCGGAACAAGAAGTTCACGGATGCGATTGATGCCTTTCTAGTGCGCTGCGAAGACGAGGGGGTCGATCCGGTTGAGAAACTGGAGACGGACAAAGATGCCTGGGTTCCTGTGCCTCCGGATGAGGATACGAGTACTGTGTCATCGACAGTGCCGCAGCAGATCCCTAAGGAGCGCAAATCCATGTCGGATATTATCAAGGAGATCCGCCAGATGGACTGGTATACGGCACAGGTCGTCCCCGAAGGACACAGGGTGTTCGAGGCCCAGCCTCCTGTCTACGGGGAACTGGCGTTTCAGCTCTCGCAGGACCTGGTCAACGCCTTGTATAACACCAAGGGGATCACGCAGTTCTACACCCACCAAGCGGAAGCCATCAACCACCTACACGACGGACACAATGTCATCGTGTCAACCTCCACCAGCTCCGGGAAGTCGTTGATCTACCAGGTGCCGATGCTGCACGAGCTCGAAAAGGACCCTGCCAGCCGCGGACTATACATCTTCCCCACGAAAGCCCTGGCCCAGGACCAGCGGCGCAGCATGCAGGAGCTGCTCCAATTCATGGACGGCTTACAGGACACCATGGTCGAGACCTTCGACGGCGACACCCCCATGCCGAGCCGAAACCTCATCCGGGACGAAGCGCGCATCATCTTCACCAACCCGGACATGCTGCACATCACCATCCTGCCGCAGGAGGGCTCCTGGCGCACATTTCTCCGGAACCTCAAATACGTCGTCGTCGACGAGCTGCACGTCTACGACGGTCTCTTTGGCACCCATGTCGCGTTCGTCATGCGACGACTGCGCCGGATCTGCGCCGCCGTCGGAAACAGCCACGTTCGGTTCATCTCCTGCTCCGCCACCGTGGCCAACCCCGAGGACCACATGAAAGCGATCTTCGGCGTCGACGACGTCAAACTGGTCGACTTGGACGGCTCCCCCTCCGGCCGAAAAGAATTCATCTGCTGGAACACGCCCTACAAGGACCCCAACGACCCGACGTCCGGCCGCGCCGACAGCGTCGCGGAAACCGCGCGCCTCTTCTGCCAGCTCCTCCTCCGCGGCGCGCGCGTCATCGCCTTCTGCCGCATCCGCAAACTATGCGAAGTCCTCCTGCAAGCCGTGCGGGCCGAGTTCCAGAGGCTCGAACGCCGCGAGATCGGGAACCTCGTCATGGGCTACCGCGGCGGATACGGCCCGCAGGACCGGCGGGCCATCGAGAAAGACATGTTCGAGGGCCGTCTGATGGGCATCGTGGCGACCAACGCGCTCGAACTCGGCGTCGACATCGGCTCCCTCGACGCCGTCATCACCCTCGGCTTCCCCTACTCCATCTCCAACCTCCGGCAGCAGAGCGGCCGCGCCGGCCGCCGCAACAAAGACTCGCTCTCCGTCCTCGTCGGCGCCCGCTACCCCACAGACCAGTACTACATGCGCAACCCGGACGAACTCTTCACCAAACCCAACGCGGCCCTCCAGATCGACCTCTCCAACGAACTCATCCTCGAAGGCCACATCCAATGCGCCGCTTTCGAATCCCCCATCCACCCCGTCTCCGACACCTGCTACTTCGGCCCTCAACTCCCCTCCCTCCTCACCTCCCGCCTCACCCGCGACCCCCTGGGCCTCTACCACTGCCACCCACGCTTCCTCCCCCAGCCCTCCCGCGCCCTCTCCATCCGAGACACCGAAGACCAGCACTTCGCCGTCATCGACACCACCAACGCCCGCAACGTCGTCCTGGAGGAAGTCGAGGCCTCGCGCGCCTTCTTCACCATCTACGAAGGCGGCATCTTCCTCCACCAAGGCCAAACCTACCTCGTCACCGAACTCAACCCAGACCGTTTCTTCGCCCGCGTCACTCGCGTCCACGTCGACTGGAACACCATGCAACGAGATTACACCGACATCGACCCCATCGCCACCGAACTCATCCGGCCCATCACCTCCCCTCCCCTCCCCTCCTCCTCCTCCTCCTCCTCAACCATACAACCATCCAAAGCCTTCTTCGGCACCATCCGCATCCACAGCATCGTATACGGGTACTTCAAAATCGACAAACGGTCACGAATCCTCGACGCCGTCTCCCTAACCAACAACCCGCCAATAACAACCTACACAAAAGGCATGTGGCTGGACATCCCCCCTCTGGCGCTGCAGATCCTCTCGTCACGCAACCTCAACATCGCAGCTGCCATCCACGCCGCCGAACACGCCGTCCTCAGCCTCCTCCCTACCTTCGTCATCTCGTCGCCGGGCGACGTCCGGACGGAATGCAAGGTCGCGAAGAAGGAACTCGGCAAGGGGTTGCGGGTCGCGGTGGAGATGCAGAGGAGTGGTGCGGAGAGGAGGGCGTTGGAGGAGAGGGTCAGACGGTTGATGGTGCCGCCCACGCCGGGGAGACAACGGCCCGCGCGGTTGACGTTTTATGATGCGAGGGGTGGGGGGGGAGGCGGGGGGATTGCGGCGAAGGCGTTTGAGTTTGTGGATGGGCTGTTGAGGCGCGCGCTTGAGAGGGTCGAGGGGTGTACTTGTGCTGGGTCCCGTGGGTGTTTGGAGTGTGTTTGTGATGAGCGGTGTAAGGAGATGAATGAGGTGATGAGTAAGGCTGGGGCTGGGGTGGTGTTGAGGTGTTTGCTTGGATGGGAGGTGGATGTGGAGGCTTTGCCGTGGGGGGAGGAGGTGGAGATTGGGGAGGGGACTGGGGGGAGGGAGCCGGGGAGTTGAGGGGTGGCTGGGAGACTGTCGTGCCTGCTGTTGAGGTGCCGATGGGGGTGAAGGTGAAGGGGGTTGGTTCGGGGTTTGGGTCTGGGTCTGGTGCCTAAGACGGCATTATATAAGGATGGGATGGGGGTTAATACGTTGTGTTAAGATGGGGGGTCTGGTTACTAGTGTAGTGTAGTGTACTATAGGGACTGCATCAGCAGGGGGCTGTAGTGGTTGGATGTACCGAATGACGAAATGTATAGGATTGACCAAGCCAAGCTGATAGGGTATCTATATAAGGAAGGGTATGTATGTATGTATGTATGTATGCATGGAGTATGGATACGAAGCAGTTGTCTCGTCTCAACTGCCATCGCATCGATCTATCCGAGCCTTCGTCTTCGACTCCGCACCAATTCCGGGTATCACTTCGTTCTGTATTAGCCACGCCGCCATCTCACCTCTTATTCCCCTAACGAACGGATAGAGCTGAGCTTGTAGAGCGTGAATGTTGATAATAAGGGCTCGAGACGGGATGCCGTGACCGGTCGAGTCATGTAGCGTGGAATTGGTCCACGAGGAAAATTAGCGGTTTCACCGCACGCGATAAAACTTAGCATGCAGGCAGCACCGCTAACCGCTGGGCCCCTTCGTCGCTATACGACGAGTGGGTCGTCTCCGGCAAGGCTGTGTAGTAGTGTGTACAGCAGAGTGAGCTCACTCTGACCGGTCATGTTGGCCGCGCGGCGTCCGTGCCAACCGACGCGGGACTGTTTTCGCTCTCCGTGTCGTCCAAGCTGATGTTCCAAAACAGCGTCTTCATATGGCTGACATCCTCGCGGAAGTCATCACGAGGGTGGCTCGTGCGCTCTTCCGTCATCGCTCGCACTTCCCGGATGATGTCGGGGTATCCCTCGTCGTCTGGCAGCCACCAGCGGTTGACTTCTGGCGTCTGCCAGAGGGCAGCCAGCGCTGACCGGAAGGTCGCCGCAACGACGTACCTAGCACAACACAACCCACCTGTCAGCTATGCTCGGGCCTGCGGCTCAGAGGCGATTCAAACTCACCCGCTCTGCTCAATCTGAGCAAACTTCCTCCGCGCCCACATGATGTATTTTTCTTCCCGGGGGAAAAACATGGCGGCCATCCCGATGCTGTTCTTAAACGCCAGCAGATGCCCATTTTCCTTCACGGGCCACCGATCGACCGACTCCATCAGCCGGGCCAGTTCCAGCGCCAGCGCCCCGAGTTCTTCCATGGTCGATTGTTTTAGGGACAGGAGCGTCTGATACTTGTACATAGCCTTGGTCGAGTAGTAGTCGATCCATGCCACATTCACGTCCCATAGGGGCCCGTGATACATCCCTCCTGGCGTATACGGATCCACAATATCGTCCCCTGTCAACGGAATCCGGTTGGGATAGTCTCGCACGGTATACTCGGATTCGCTGAATGTGTCCAGGATGCTCTTCACTCGCTCTAACGTTTGGCCCAGCTGTTCGTTTTCGACAATGAACTCACTGATCGGGATCAGCCCGCGTGATAACTTGGCATATAGCGAAGCCATTTCCAGTCCAAACCGACGGTTGATCGAGTTGGCCAGCGCCAACTGCTTCTCTACATCGCCCGGGTGGCTAGCTGCCTGCTGAGCATCGAACTGTTCTTTCGCAATATACCATTCGCGACCCAGGATCGTCTCGTTTCCGGCCAGGATCCCAGCGACCACGTCGAATCGCGCGTACCAAAGAAAGATATTGCTGTGGAGCTCGTTCGTGTTGGCCGATTCCGGTGTGAGGACTTCTCGCACTAAAGCATGGGCAGCTCGATGATGACCGATTAGGTTGACCCAATCGCCGATGGATTCCTAAGTCGTCAGCATCCAGTTACAACTGCCTCGAAGAGACTTCTTACCTCGAAAGTGGTCAGGACAAGAACGGTGATCAACGTCGCCTCACTATGTGGCTCACCGGAGCTTAACGACTTGCGCAGCAACTTCAACGCGATGTTGTAATATTTGAGGAAAGTGTACAGTTTCCCGGTATCGGTCTGCACACAGTGGTGATATGCCGAAAACCCCACCAAGGCATACAGCAACGGGTCGTATTGCAAAGCCAGTTCGATGATACTCTGGTGAACAAACCGGTCGTTGACCGGTTTCAGGAAATAATGGCGATACGTGAGGAACTCTTGATGGTAGTTGAGATAAAACCGCAGGTCCTCGGCCAAGTGTGCGGTGCTGAGCAGACCGGATGATGCTTCGGGAAAAGGGAAGCTGACGCTGGCCGACCGGGTACTCAACGAGTCGAATCTCGATGATGTTTCCGTAGATGGGGAGGGTGAGGTGCTACCTTCGTTTCCGAAGGAAGACAGAACAGCAAGGCATTCCCCGGGTACAACAGTCGCGCATCCAGCCCTATGGAGTGTACCTCGGCATGCTGGGCTGCGTTGTGTTGCCCATCGCCAACGCCCTCGTGCTGGCATTTCCGGCACCCACGCCCGACGAAGCTCCGTCGGTTTCCTGGTCTGGGCTGAGACTCGGAAATGCCATTCCCGTGTACCTTGGGATATGCGCGTTCCTTTTGCTTTACTCTGGTCACCAAGCGCGAGCAGCTCTGATCCGACGGGCATCGAAGACGGAGCGTGATACCATTCAGATAGGGTCGTCCAAGCGCCGAAGTTGGTGGAGAGGGCCGGAGCAGACGCGCGAGGGGTTGTCACTGGGTGCCCAGGCACCGACTACGTTGGAGCCGTGAGAGTTAGGAGATCTGGTGAGAGTTGGCGAGATCGTGTATCTTTAAAGTGTAACTATCTTTAATCCATCCTAAATTCTTCCAGTGTCTGTATCATACCTAGTACCGACGTCGTACGTAAGTGAGTAGTCACAGCCGGCCTCAGTATTGAAATGGCGTGTATTATTGATGGTGTAAGGGCACTTGGTTATGCCTCATCATTCTTGTAGCTCTGATCGCCTTTATTCTGGGTAAGCATTCTCCCCGGTCGTTACTTTTTCTATCGAAGAACTCGTGAGCCGGTCGTCCCTCTTCATGATATATATTCTGGGTGGGCTTGGTGGGAGGGTAAGGTACAGTACATCCACATAGTACCCAGGTGGCGACTTAGGTACATGAGGTCCTCCGTAGCACCTAATGCACTAGGTACTAAGGTACCTAGGTAGTAGTAACTTAGTGCCCTGACAATCCTTGAGGGGGTTCATGAGTACCCGTAGTCTCGTACCCCTCGTACCACCGTGTACCTGGCAGGGTGCGACCTACAGTAAGTACCTATCTACAGGTACTCGGTACAGATACTGTATACTCCGTATAGTTCGTCGCCACGCACGGGACTGGGGCACTGAGCCGGCCGCCCCTAACTCATTTTTCCGCACTAGCAGCGCCAGGACGGAGTAATGCTGCGGCCACTCGCGGCCACCCAGAATGATTCGTTGGCAGTCAGGCATAGCAGTAGTAGGCGAAGTCAGAGGTACGTAGGCAGGCTAACTGACGGACGGACTGAAGTCTGACGGGAACTAGGCCATAGGGAGTATCAAAAAAAAAAGTTCTGTGGTGGACGGCAAATAAGAGTGATATGATTCCCCTTTGGTCGTTCATTTTGCCATCATTAACACCGCTTTAGGTCAGCCTAGCAGCCATCATGAGAGCAGCTACTACTCCTAACAGTCTAACACCACTTGTTCGACCTATTAATTTAGGCCACCGGCTCCCCCCTCCGTCTTCTTCCTTTCCCTCACCACCAACCGTGCTGCTTCCCCCCTCCCCTTAACCGGTTTCCCAGCAAAGCAGAGATCATGTTATCTGCCCGCGCCCAACATCATCATCATCATACCTAACTAATCCTAATTGTGAATCCCATGACCACCACCACCACCACTACCATCACTACCATCACTACCCTATCTAGTTAACTGTTACTGACTGGCCTACTAATCTACCGACCGATCTGTTGTTACCTACCTACCTACCTACCTACCTACCTACCTACCCACCCTGCCACCTTTCTTACCCTATCCTCTCTACCTATCCTACCACCCAATATCTTCTATTCCTCGCCTCTCTCCTCTCCTCTCCTATGCCCCGTATCGCTCAATACCTATTACTATTACCAGCGTCAGTTCCGGACTGGTACTATCCGTCACAAGGGGAATACCACCACCCACCACCCTATTGCCCTTTTTTGTTATTTTCGTTCTTCTGACGTTCTTTTTTCTTTTTCCGTTTTACGAAATCATCTTTGCTGCTCACAGACCATGATTTCCTCTCCCCTTCCCTCTTCCCTTCCCTCCCCCCACCCCCTTCTCCTTAAACCGCCCAGACGGCCCTCTGGCCGACGACCGGTTGATTTGGATCTTCCCCATAAAACTCTGGGGGACCCTGGCACCCATCCTTATCCAGTCCCGTCACTTCTCCTCTTCACCTCCCACCCCCAGCCTGATATCCAACCTCCCACCTGGATATGGCATGTACCCAGACCAGACCCCATGGGCTTTTCTTCTACTGTCCGACTCAACCTGACTTCAGTTCTACTTTTTTACGTTTCTACTGTTTGTTGGGTTCCATGAAGCCATGATCCGCCGCCCTCGTCGGCGTGGGTATCGCCCTGAAGCATACGGCCGCCCGTCGACTTTGCCGCCTGGAATACAATCGACGACGAGATGATCACTCGACTTTTGCTCAAACTTGACTTTGCTCTGATGCTAACCATTTGACCGGGCACTAACGCGTTTCTTTTTCCTCATTTGTGTTGCGTCACGACCTCTCTGCATTGTTGATTGACCGCTAATACGGCTAGACAACACATGCATGCGTGGTATTGCGGGTTACTACTGACCTACGGCAGACGAGACTCTGGCCCAGGAGTGTGGGAGTGTTGCTGGGAAGGTCCACTATTTTTTCCTTCTCTGCTTTCTTTTTTCTCCCCCGTCCACCCGCGTGTTGGAGTCCTAAAAGGTCTCCAGGACCTTACCCTCCGGGGGTGGTGGGAGGCCCCCGATCGCGCGCAACCAGCCTCCGCCTCCGTCGTCCCCTTTGGCCTTCCATTCCTCTTCCCTCTCCTCTCGAGTCCTCTCGGCCTCCCCCGCTATGCCAGACCCGGGGGGGGGGGGTGGGTTGGCAAGTCACTTCCCCGATTGGGGCTAGGGGCACACCTCCTGCCGGAAGCAGACAAGCGGCCTGTCTGCCTTCCCCACCCAGGCAGCACCGGTCGGCCGCCTGAGTTCTCAGGCCTGCAGAGTCCTCCGTGCCAGGGTGCCGTCGCTCGTCTCAGCTGGGACTGTCTGGGTTCGTTTCCGGCCGGCCTCGCAATCTAGTCGCCTTTTCCCTTTGGTTCCCCATGGTTTCGCTCGCTCGTCCCCCCCCCCTCCCTGCCGCTCCCTCGAGCTTGCAATTCGTTCCTTGACCGGGAAGCCCGTCGTCGGATCTGTCCCTTTCGTTCTTCCATGGCCACACCCTCCCCCCTCTTCCATCATTAACCTCCCCTCCCAAAACGGGGACGAAGGCTAAAGGATCAGACAAAACAAAAGCACAGGGGGAAAACAAAAAGAAAATCGAAAGGGAAAAAAAAAAAAAAAGGAAGAAGAGGCGCGTCAGCAGCAAAGCTCACTCACAGGCACTCTCACTCACGCACTCAGTGACTACTGCGTACCTTGCCTACCTTGCCTACCTAGCAGTCGGCTTCCCCCAGAACCTGGACGGGTGGGAGAAAAAATTCCACGCCATTCCCTTTTCACTCTGGGTCTTGGACGCGCCGCTTGAATGGCCCATCCGTGGCTTTAGCCTCTCTCTCACTCTCCCTCCCTCCCTCCTCGGATCCTCGCTTCTCTCCTCCCTCGGGCTCTCCTTTCTCCCTCTCTGCTTGCCTTCCCTCGCCTCTTCCCGATATTCACCTTCTCGTTCCTCGACTTCTGTTTCTCGCCCACATTTCGTCATCCCATTCACCTTTTCCCCCCGGCCTTTCTTCTCTTCCCCCCCCATCTTTGTCCTCGTACGACTACTAATCCTCCTGACGAGCGTCATCCTTCTTTTGACCTCTCCACCTTCCCTCTTCTCCTATCCGTCAGGCTCCTCGGTCCTCCATGCGATTCGTGGCCCGTCCGCCCTTCTACAATCATCGGTTACCGATCTTCGACTTCCTGCTCTCCCACGGTCGCACGCGCCACCGAGGAAGACGACTTTACTGAGGCCTCGAATACCCTTCCTCCCTTTCGAATACTGTGAACCGACCCGATCGTCCATACCAGCACATCCTTCAGGTCGCTATCCAACCTTGACTCGCTGTTTCGATTCTCTGGTGCGACTTCATTCCTCTCGGGCTCCGTTTGTCTTCAACTTTGCCTTCAAATACAGGGTGGCACATCGTGGACTTTCTCGTCTGGCGGCAGCGGTATCTGGCTGGGTCAGACCTCTTGACACTGCTGACGGTCGTGATTGTCAAGAGCAGGCGACAAACACCAGTGAGCGATAGGTGATATGCGTGTTGAGCTCTGACAGGTTCTCAAGCCGTTCGTCCTTTCGAACCACAACAGCGCATTTTTCTGTTCAGTCTGAGAGGGGGTATTCTGTCGGATTATGACAGATACCTCCCCAGTCGCCATCACGCATCCAACCACGGAGCCTTTTCCGGTCACCGTCCCTCTGAACTCGCCCGTTGTCAACGGCGCTGTCTCCGACTCCGTCGCCCCTGAGGAGGAGGAACCGTACACCATCAAATGCATCTGTTCCTATCAGGACGATGATGGTAATACGGTCTTCTGTGAAGGGTGTGAAACTTGGCAGCACATTGAATGCTACTACCATGGTCGGAACGTGCCAGAAGTTCACAACTGTGTCGAGTGCGAGCCCCGTCCCCTTGACGGTCGGCGCGCCACTGAACGACAGAAGCGCCTCAGAGAACAGAACGACGGTGACCGGAAAGCCAAACGATCTGGCACAAAGAGTCACAAGAAAAAGCCCAAGGAGCTTGGCGATCAGGTGAACGGATTCCATGCCCGGTCGGAATTGAGCTCACGGGAACAGCCCCTTGCGAAAAAGTTCAAAACCAACCACCGCTCCTCTGGCTCGGTCAGCTCCGCATCAGGTGTTCCCAGTTTCCCTGCTGATGCACGCAAACGCGCCGCACCCTCCATGAGCCCGACCAAGACAGCAGGGCCTTCCATTCCACTGTATTCACAAGAGTTCCTTCATCTCTACGACCATGATCAAGAGTATGCGAGCATGGACAGCAATTTGTTCGTCAACCTGCCTTTCGCGACGGAATTGGCCAGCTGGGTTTCAGAGCCGGAAGCAATGGCCCAAATCTCGAACGGGCGTTCTGCGCAGGACATATTTACCTGGTCTGATGCGCCACTGGACCGATCACGGTGGCCGACATTATCCACTGAAACGATCACGGACTCGAGTGTTGAAGTCGAGGGACAACATCCAACGTGGAAAATCCTCAAGACTCGCGATCGTGTAGGGAAAGATGAAATCGTTGGCGAAATCACAGGCAAGATAGGTTTTCTACGGGACTACTGCCTGGACCCCAGTAATCGATACCAAGAGCTTCGTCATCCGCAACCCTTTGTCTTTTTTCACCCTCAACTTCCCCTCTACATTGACAGTCGACACGAGGGCAGCGTGCTTCGCTACGTACGGCGCTCTTGTCGTCCCAATGTCACCATGAAGACCTACATCACAAACCAAGTCGAGTATCACTTTTGCTTCGTTGCCAAGGAAGACATCGCGCCCGATTCAGAGCTCACTGCTGTGTGGTATCTAGATCCGCAGCTCTTTGAATCGACGAATGGCCTGGTCAAGCAGGAATCCAGCGACAACGTGACAGATTCGGCGGCGAACTGCATCAGCAATGTTCTTTCCCACTTTGGTGGGTGTGCCTGTGTCTCTCGGTCGAACTGTCTTTTGGGTAACGTCGATCGTCGACGCCATCCGAAGGTGATGGATGTGAATGCGAAACAGGCGAGTGCGAAACGGAAAAAGACAAAGCCCAAGACGAACATATCCCCACCTGCAGCCAACAGCCGCGCGGGCAGTGAGACCACCAGGAACTTGGACGAAGACGACCAGGCCGATAGTCGTTCTGCCTCAGGATCGGCACGGGACCAGACGCGCAGTCGAGATCTCACCCCTACGTTGCTGGCCTCGACGGAAGCCCTGCACGGAGAGTCCGAACTCTCTGCCCGAGAAAAGCGCAAGATCGCTGCGGCGGAGAAGAAGTTCCAGCAACTGGAGCATGATCAAGCGTTGCAAAAGAGGAAGAAGCGGGCTAGCGGCCAGTCTTCCCATGGCACGCGCGAGCGCCAGTCGTACTCCCCTCCTTCTGGTGGCCCCGTCGGCTCGCTGCCTGGAATGCGTCACGGCTCACCACGCAGGACATCTGGCGGCCCCAGCACACCTTCAATACCGTCTCCCTTGACGCGCCTCCACTACGTAGACTCCGCCATCCAAACAGACTCGGATGCCGGCGACGGCGCGCTCTCACCTTCTCTATCGTCCCCTCGACGACCGAGCTTTATGCCTTTGACTCAGCGTCTCTTGAAACGATGCTATTCCGATCGTGTCAAGCTTGAAAGCAGCCAGTCGCCCGTTTCGCCTCAACCAATTTTTGTCGGGCATACCGATTCGTCGCCGGCATCGCCGAGTCCGCACGAAGCAGCGCTAACAGCCACACCTCCCAGTGTCTCGGCAGACCACCACGATGTGGATATGCAGGACGTAGGCTCGCCCGTGGATACCTCACCGTCACGGTCTCACGATACGCATCTTGACGCGTCGCCGTTGTCGGGGCGGGGGTCGGTCAAGCCACCCCTGCCGCCTCCTTGGCCGTCCACCGCCGCCCATAATGCTCGAATACCTGAAAATGCTGAACATAAACTCCGCCCCGATCTTCGCGTTCCTCTCCCTCCCGCTACTGCACCGTCACACCCGCCAGCCACCAGTCCAGGGTCGACCGCGCCATTGACGTTATCATCACCCTCCGCCGAGTCGTCCCCACAACCCAGCCTCAACATACCGTCCACGTCGGTGTCCAGTGTGGCGGGCCCTAGCCCGGTGAAGAAAAAGCTCAGTTTGGGTGACTATCTCATCCGGCGAGGCACCCTGGCCACCCCTACATCGGAGAAAGCTCCGGCGGCGGCCCCCGCGATGCCTCCACCCCCATCACTGGTGCCGCCACCGGCTAGCCGTGATGGCGCGGTTGCAGGACAAACTCATAGCTCCCAAATAGAAAGCAAGGCCGCAGGTGGAGCTGCGGGGAACCGAACGGACGAGGGTGGTGGTGGTGGTGGTGGTGGTGCGCGGAACGCCGGCATGAAAGACGCTTCCGGGGTTGCGACAAGCTCGCACATCCCGTCGGCGACGTGACGCGACGCGACGTGACGATCCGATGCTATCTGGTGTGGACCACGCAGGGTGGGGCTACACCACATAATATGCGATGATTACATTCTCTGTGAAACAATTTTTTCTGCTATCTTGTCCGTTCTGCGGTTTTCTTCGACTTGTACTCGATGGGACTTTTTGACAGGCGTTCAGCCGCGGGCGCTGTTTTGATTTGACCGGCGTATTCGGCGTGTTGGAAAGGAAACGGGCCAGGGAAATATCCGGATGGGTTATGGGTACAGGTCGCTTTAACTACTACTGGGGGTCACGATGTGCAGCACCGGCCTCGCGATTGTTATTACTATCTTATTTGCCAACGCTTTCTTTTACCTTTCTTCTTTTTTTCCCCTTTCTCTTTCTCCTCCTTCTCCTCTGTAACCTTCTATCTTCCATTACTACTAGGATACTTGTGACAGGGTTCCTCCGGGCGCCGTCATGATGAATGAAAGCTTAGCATCTCCGCTTGTTTTTCCTGATCCGACTTACGGAGTACTTTGTACTGTGACGTCAGGGACAGCCCTACATGGTACTAACTACACCTTGATAAGCTGGGGGTTTCTTCCAAGAAATCGAGTTGGATGTTTCCTCTTATCTACCAACAACCTTGTTCTGTATCTTCCCTTCTCTTCCCCTCTCTCTCACATTCTCTCATTCCCTCCCTTGGCTCTTCTAAGTTCTTCATTCCCATATCGCACCATCATCCAGTGCTACACTGCCACCGCCCCCCTCCCCCCACTTACTCCTCGGATTCACGGCCTGTCTGACCAGAGACACCGAATACCTAGATACACAGTACTATACCAATAGTTAGCTACTGTACCCATCCGCCAAGCCATGCAAGAGAGACAACCAGAGGCCCGGATAAAGAATTACCAGCGGTGTCGCCAGACTTTTTCCGCCCGCGCCACTCATCGAACCGTCTAGATTTCCGCCAGAAACCTGTTTGAGCCTCCGAGAGGGTCATCGGCATTTGGTATTGGGAAATTAGCAACACTTGGATAGATAACTAGTTAGTTTGTACCAGGGTCGGCCACGCTGCACACTGCCGGGGCTCTAGCTAGCCTAGCTCCTATCTACTTAGTGAATGGTGCCACATCGCCGCGTGGGAGAGACGCTTCTGGTTCGTCATTGGCCCTGGGCGCCTTGAGTCGTTCATAGTAGGATTGTAATAATGGCTGATAGTAATGATTCATCGTCCCATTGCTCGATGGTGCCGAGCCTGGCAGTATGTCTGAGGCAATAAGACCGGTCTGAGCATGTCTCTAAATAGCAACTTGGTGAAACAGAAACGGGGACAAGAGAGAGGTGCGGGTGAGACTTTGTCCGTTTGGGCTGTGTCGGGTCTATACAAGATCTCAATATAGTTGAGTAGATAGACGATAGTGTGTCAGTGTCTGGCTGGACAAGAAGAAGGTTAACCTGCCCGGCTCCACCGGCTCACCGGCAAGGTTGCCTGATATCATTCCATTCCCATGGTTTTGTCGGATGACATCAAGACCACCGCCGTTCATTCGGATTCCCTCACGGCCGGCATTCGGGTTCCCGGACATAACCCTACCCTGGAGGGAGGCGACTTCAACGCTGTAAGATGTGTAGTATATATTTGCCAGCGGTTTCCCGTTGTTCGGTAGTTAGTAGCAGCAGTCAATTCCTCATTTCCAATCAATTCCATCTCGTCCTATCATCATCATCATCATCATCATCATCATGGTTGTCAACATCACCGCCGAAGACCCCCAACCCACCATCCACAGCCACATCAACGGCACCACCGAGGAGATCCTCGATCGACTCTGCGTGACCGAGCTGCTGAAGGGATGGCCGGTATACCGCGATGCGTCTGAATGGGCGCACTACCGCAACTGTTTCGCCGAAGAGGCCTACATCTTCACCAGTTCGTCTTTTTCCCCCTCCCCTCCCCAAATCCCAACCCATCATCCAATCTCTAACCCACCCACCCATCCACCACAGCCTGGAGTGGCGGCATGCCCATCGACGACTTCATCGAAGTATCCAAAACCGGCCGCCGCAACGGCGACCACATCATGCACCGAGAAAACGGCACCCTGGTCGAGCTGAACCCGGCCACCGGCCGCGCCGTCGGCAAAATGAAGGCGACCATCACGCAGCGCTTCTCCTTCGAGGGCGTGGAATGCGACGTCGAATGCGACTGCCGGTTCATCATGTGGTGCGCCAAGGGCCCCTCCGGCTGGAAGGTCCACTTCAAGCGGCTGTTCTACGAGAAGGACAAGATCGTCCCCGTGGACGGTAAGAATGTGCCCGAGTTCTCGGCCGACGAGCTGAAGCCGTATCCCTATGGGTATCGCTATCTGGGCGCGGCGCAGGCCAGACTGGGGCATAAGATCAAGTTGGATTTGCCGACCATGGCGGATGATGACAAGTTTCGGGGCATGTATGAGGCCATGGAGAGGTGGTTGGGAGGGGAGGATATTCGGGAGACGTTGGGGATTCCGGTGTAGATTTGTTTGGGGTTGGATGATTATGATTATGTTTATGTTTTATTGTAAATAGATGATGTGAGTATGAGGAGTATGAGAATATGATGGATGAATAATAATCATCGGGCTGCGGGGTAATCACCAAGTGATCGCTCTTCCCTCTTCTTCCTCCCTCTTCTTCCTCCGTCTTCCTCTCTCCACATCATCACCTCTTCTCCACCATGCCGTCTCACGAGTTAGCCAGTCTCCGGTCTCTACCCCATCCCCCATCGTCTCGCTCATCGTCCCGTTCCGAGCTCGAGCAGCTGCCACTGCCTCCGGTGGACCAGGGCAAAGGCGCCTGGCTGATGCTGGCCGCGTGCTGTGTGATCCAATTGCCGGTCTGGGGTACGGGGTGACCCCCCGGCCAGCTTCAGAACCATGCTCACGGACTGCGTCCAGGATATTCTCTCGTCTCCGGTATCTTCCAGGAGTACTTTGCCACGCACAAGGATCTTCAGGGCAGCAAAGGCGGGCTGGCGATGGTGGGAACCACATCAACGGTAGCCAACTGTCCCATGGATAGCCGTCGATGTCCGTGGTAGTGTTGACCGTTTCGATCTTCTAGGGAATCCTGTACCTGCTGTCCCCGGTGACCTTCACGCTGTTGACCCGCCATCCCCATCTCCAGAAGTACTGCGCCCCCGTCGGCCTGGTCCTCACCGTCGGCGGGTCTCTGCTTTCCTCCTTCGCCACGACCGTCTGGCAGCTGATTGCAACCCAGGGGGTGATCTGCGGTCTGGGCAATGGTCTCGTCTTCAGCCCGACTACCCTCTATCTGGACCAATGGTTCATTCGCCGCAAGGGCCTGGCATATGGGATCATGTGGGCAGCCAAGAGCATCTCCGGCGTGGCTCTTCCCTTTGTGGCGAGTGCGTGTCTCGATAGCTTTGGGGCAAGGACCACGCTGAGGGCGTGGACGGTCATCACGGTCGGTACCCGAAGTTGCTATCGATGACATCCAGTCCAGTCTAACCAGATGTCGTAGCTGCTCACCATCCTCGCAGCGCTGCCCTTCGTCAAGCCACGGATCCCCCCATCCCCGTCCACCACCCCTCAGCCACTCAACCTGGCTTTCTTGAAGCTCGTCACGTTCTGGATGCTGCAGCTGGGAAACATCATCCAGGGCTTCGGGTACTTCTTGCCCAGCGCCTATCTCCCGTCGTACTCCACGACCGCAGCCGGTCTGTCCGCCACAACAGGCACTCTCCTGCTGGCGCTGTTTAATGCCACTTCTGTGGCCGGGGGCATTGTTCTGGGGGCTTTGTGTGATCGCTTTGCCGTCTTTAATATCATGCTGCTCTCCTCCGTAGGCTCGGGACTGTCCGTCCTGCTGTTCTGGGGCTTGTCGACATCTGCCTCCTCCGCCAGCTATCCACACGCTGCCATCGCCTTGCTGACTCTCTTCTCCATCACGTACGGGTTCTTCGCGGGCGGCTTCAGCTCCACGTGGTCCGGGGTGCTCACCCAGGTCAAGCGCGAGATGCCCTCGTTGGAGACGGGGCTGGTGTTCGGGCTGCTGGCCGGTGGACGGGGCATCGGTAGTGTCGCCAGTGGTCCGTTGAGCTCGGCACTGATGCAGCAGGGGTCTCTCGCTGGAAAGGAGAGCGGTGGGATCGGATATACCACCGATTACGGGGCGCTGATTCTATTCACGGGGGTGACGGCCATTCTGGGGGGATGGGGGTGGATCTGGCGGTACTCCAGTGGCTGCCTGAGTAGATAGTTCTTTCTTGTTAATGTAGAGTTTTGATTTTTTACTTCTCCCCTGGCCCTGATGGGGCAAGATGGGGGGCGGGGGGGATAGAGAGAAGTATACAGGGCCGTCTGGGTCACGTGCGGGCCGCAGTTCCTGCGCATCGTCCAAGTCGAGCCTGTGAAGCAACAGAAACACCGCCAACTCCAACTCCATCTTCAACTCCGTCCAACCTCCCAATTCGTCCAACCGCCATCCATTGCTGCCTCATCTCTCCCTTTCGCTCACTCTCTTGGATCCCTTGGAGCGGTGCACCCTCCCACACACCACCATGGCCCACGATCCGGCTCTCCAAGATCCCCTACTCGCGCTGCGCCGCGCCATCGCGGCCGGCAGCCTCCCCACGCCGACCACCTCCAGCGACCTCTCCGACCAGAATGCCACCGACGACCTGGCCCAAGCCTCCCATCTCTACTTCCAACATCCCCTCCCACAAGCCATCCCTCTCACCACCCCGACCCGCTTCGTCTCCAGCTCCTCCGACTCCGCCGTCGACCTCCGCAGTATCTTCTTCGCGTGGCAGAAGAAAGACGTCGCCATCCCCGAGTACATCACCTCCGCCCAGGAGCTTAACGAGTCGCTAAAACAGAAGGAGCGCGCGGACGGGGAAGAGGAAGAGAAAGTCCAGAACCTGGTCTTCGTCGAGCGTCTCGACCTCCTCACCTGGCTGGAAGGGGCCTCCGATGACAGTGAGTACATCAAGCCGTTGGAGGGCGCGGCGGCGGCTGCAGCTGCCGCGTCCGCCGCTGCTCAGGCTCAGGCGTCTGCGAACATCGCCTCTGGTGCGGCCGGGGGTGTCGCGGCTGTGCCCAGCGGTGCTCCGGGTGCCACGCAGGCCCAGCAGGGCAAGGCGGCCAAGGTGATCGATCCGCGGCTGCAGGAAATCTACAATGGGGAGCGGAAGATGGGGGATCGCAACAGTGTGCTACGGGGAATCAAGCCGACGGTAGGTTCACGATGCAGATAACAGAGGCAATCCGATCCCGCCGCATGCTAATTCCATCCACGTAGGACTTCTCCCACGTCCGCAAGACCGCCGAGGGTATGCTGGGACGCAACCGGTCCCGACCGGGCCAATACCCTGCGGGCGTGAAGCCCAGCAGCAAACCGCAGTCGGTGATACCCGCGCCGTCGGCGGGCCTCTCGCAGCCGCGCAAGGGCAGCTCCAAGACGCAAGACCCGATCATCCTCCTGTCGCCGTCGGCGTCGTCGCTCATCCGCATGTCCAACGTACGCTCGTTCCTCCAAGACGGCGTGTTCGTGCCGCCGGACCACCCCACACTCTCCATGCCCAACTCCAACATCCTCTACATCTCCCGCCCGCTACGCATCCACTCGGACCCCTTCAGCTCCTCGCGCCCGGGCGGCGGCAGCTCATCGCAACCCACCGCGCGGAAACCCACCCGCTTCATCCTGGTCGACAGCACGGCCAACTTCCGTCCTGACTACTGGCAGCGCCTGGTGGCTGTGTTCACCACGGGCCAGACCTGGCAGTTCAAGTCCTACAAGTGGTCCTCCCCGCCGGAGCTCTTCAAACAGGCCACGGGCGTGTACGTCGGCTGGCGCGGCGAGGATACGCCCCGGGAGGTGCGCAGCTGGGGCCGTGGCGTGCAGAGCTTCGCGGTCGAGCGCTGGGACGAGAAAGGTGGTGCTCACGGATCGGGCCGGTGGCGTGATCGGGAGGTCGTCGAGGGGATCTGGTCCGCCATTGAAGAGGGGATGAGACTGCGAGGCTGGGGATCCAAGTAGATCTGATCTCCCCTTGCCTGTCTACCCACCTACCTCCCTACCTGTGTCCCGTGTTTCACTTGTCTCTCTCCACCACCCTCACAATTCGGTCTGCCGTCCGTCCCTCCGTCCGTCCAGCCGTCCGTGCGGGCAGTGAAAGGGGAGAGGGGGGTAAGCAAGTGACTGTCTAAGATATTCCGAAACACACGTCGTTTCATCTAGGTCTAGATAGATCGGATGATGATCCATTTCCGTCCCATCCCGCATCTCCCCTCTCTGTATCACCACCCCCTCCCTCCTTCCCGACCTCACTCCCCGCATACATACCTAATGTGGATAACTCGATTAGACTGGACTGGACTGGACTGGATTGGATTGGATTGGATTGAGTGGATGAAACTGGATTGGATAAGACATGGAGATGAATCCGCACGGACAGCCAACTAACCTAACCTAACCTAACCTAACCTAACCCAACCCAACCCACTTCACTTCAAACGAGAGAATGAACAATCAATCAATCAATCAATTAATAATATGGCTTTCTGTGTGTCTATCTATCTATCTATCCCTCAGTGTCAGGCTATCATTGTCTCCTCATCCCCAATCGGTGTATACTATATACCCCACCCCGAGCGGAGAGTTTTCTGGTTTGGGGATTTACTCCGAGGATTCGGAGGGAGCATATGTATTTACTATCTATCTATCTATCTATCTATTCCAGGCCTCGGAGTATCTACTCCATCCATCCATCCATCCATCCATCCATCCATTCTGCATAACTCAACACCTCCGTCATAGCATAGCACAACAGCACCACCAATACTAGTAATCCACACCTTACATACACAACTCCCCAAATCACTGCACTTACCTTGGGTCCTTCATCCCAACAACATCCGGCCTACATACCCAAACAGGCAAGATGGTACGGTACTACGGTACTATAGGTAGGTAGGTAGGTAGGTAGGTAGGGAACTGCAACCCAACCCATACAAAGAATACCCCTTCCTCACTTATCTATAACCTCGCTACATCTATCCTGGCTTAGGACTTCATTTATGTGATTCATGCATTCATGTATTCATGTATTCATGCATCCAGCATCCAGCATCCAGCATCCGGCATCCAGCCAACCAACCAGCCAACCAGCCAGACAGCCAACCAGCCAGACAGCGGCGGTCAATCAATCAATCAATCAGTCAAAATCAGTCATGTGGTCCGCCTCCGCCTCCACCTCCACCTCCCCTCCACCTCGTGTCCACCACGTGTCCGCCATGCGGATGTGGGCTAATTAGTCGTATGTATGTACAGTAGTTACTCCGGAGGAAGAAGTAAATTAGTAACTACCCAAGTACCTAGCTACCTAACTACCTAACTAACTACTTACCTTACTGACCGACGACTGACCGACCCCTCCAGCCATTCCTTACTTCCTTACTTAAAGTCAAGTCAAGTCAAGTCAAGTAAAGTAAAGTAAAGTGACATGAAGTGAAGTGAATCAATGAAAAAAGATATGAATGAATGAGCAGACATAAATATTACAAACAGACATAGACGACATGTAAGCAACTACGAGAAATCCTTCCAGATTATTCGAATACGAGATGAGGGGAGGGGACACAAAGCGTATGGTAGGACGGTAACTGTTTCCCTATTCAGGCAAGTTCTGTACGTGCGTACGTACGTAGGTATGAGTACTAGGTAGTAGAGTCCATACTATACCGACGTGCCTGCTCGATGCGGAAGACGTTGCCGCGGGGGGGGGGGGGGGGTCTCGTATTGGGGACGGACGGGGGAGGGAGGATTGGCGGTTGCCTATTTTATTTATTCAAATAGGGATGTTCCATCTGACATGGTATAGTGGCCGGTTGGTCGGGTCGGGTCTGGTCTGGTCTTATGAATGTTGTGAATGTTATGAAATGCCGTGTATGATGTATGTTGTATGTATGTATCTGAATTGCTTCTTGAATAATGTCGCAGTGGCAACAGGGCCACTTCGTGTATTTAATGGTGATAGATAGATACATAGATGGTCATAGTCAGGGGACTGAGTGGGTGGGTCGGGAGGATAGGATAGATAGAAGAAGGGAGAAAAAAAAGAAAAGAAAGAAAAGCCATACACTCGCTGTATCCTGAAAATGCAAAATCAAATGCGCGAATCCATGCTCGATGCAGGGGACATATGACAACATACACTCACGTCAACTCTCTGGACAAAGGAAATAAATAGTAAATCAAAAAAAAGAAAAGAAAAAGAAAAGAAAAAGGGATCTTGAGAATCATGCACATATGCAACAGAAAAGGAAAGGAAAAAATATAGGACCGAGAATAAAACGCCTCTCTAATGCTGGAATACTCTCGTGTTTCAGCCTTCCCCTCGTCGTTTTCCGCCCATGCGTCAGTGTTCAGATAGATGTATCAAGGAAATTAAAAGGAAAACAACAAAGAAAGGAAACGGTGTATTAGAAAAATGGGTCAGTTCCGGCATCTCTATCACATGATCCATAGATCGTAAAGTCTTTCATCGGTCGTGCAGACTTGCCGCATCGTGCCGGTGGTTCGGCGCGTGCTCGTCGCAGGCGCGAAAGACAGTATAGAAACAGGAAGCGTTCGTGTCGGAGACGCATAACGTGTATCATGTCGTGTCAAGGGTTCGGTCGTGCGCCAAACTTTTGGTGGTGTGGTCTTGCTGGCTGGGCCGGTACCTCGTCGGCGAGCCAAATCATGTTCAAATCGTTCCGTCAGACAGCACCGTGTTGTGCATTATGGTGCGTTTCGTTTTCATCGGTCAAGTCCGACAGCCATCCTTGTGCTGTCAGACCGAAGGGTGATGCCCTGTTTGGACAGGATTCGGATCCCTGCATGATACACGGTCCTCCTATCATGACCGTGCTGAGCGGCTCGCCGAACGCTCCGGGACTGGCACCGTCGTAGGCGAGTAGGGCCTCGGGGCACCAATCAGGTCCACATCGTGTTCTTGGAGGATGCTTGCACACTTGGGGTCGCGCAAGAATTTGGGCACGGAGTCCTGTAGCAAGTTAGAATCCCCCCGTGAGATCTGCCACCCGCGAAACTTACACTTGACATCAACTTGAACACCGAAGTCTGGGCCATCTCGAACAGATGCACCACCTCCTGCAGGCTCTTCAGCATCGACTCATCATCACCCACGGCCTTGGTCATCCGGCTCGCCAGACTGTTCCGCAGGGCGTGGTCAATGTTAAGCTCGCAAGGCGATCCAGGCGCCAAGAACGCGTTGTAGAGACCTGCGCAGTTCGTTAGACACCGCCAAGACAGGACGATCGTGGGAAATGCTTACCGTACGCCGCAGCCAGGGTCTCGCGAACCGAATCCGGCTTCCGGAACGTGCCCAGCTTCTCCGCCTTGTGATAGGCCGAGGTGAACTCGGACACATCGAGGTAGAATGACAGGTTCTCCTCGCACAGCGAGAAGCGGAGGAACTCGCGGAACAGAAGGCGCAGAGCCGGGTCGTGCAGGATGTGGTTCAGACGAGCATTGTTCGAGTCTTTCGGGATCCCCCGACTGTCGTACATCGTAGTTTCACGAGACTTGTCCCGTGCAATCCACCCACATACCCTCTGGCCCCGGTCCGTCATTCCGTAGATCGCGTTCTTGGAGGGCTGGAACACGACTATCGAGTCGTCTGGTTGGTTGATAAACCGGTCTTCCTGCAGCATCATGATTAGGCCGTATTTGACGAAGAGCTCGGCAATGAGAACAGTCTCGCGGCGCTCGATGGTGGTCGAACAGTCCATCAGCCAATCCACCGCCGCCTTGCCTGTAAACGTGTGGGAGACAATCTTCTCGTTGATCTTGCGCTCCCTCGCCATCTTCACACCGACCAAGCCGTTCGAGTAATCACTCAGAGAATCCGAATCGGAGGTGGAAATGCTGCTCTTGATGTTCGGTCCGTCCTGCCCCGCGAACCGGCGAAAGATGACCTCAATGGTCGCTCTGTCGTGTGACAGCTTGTCGGTCTCGGTATCGCGCTCCAGGTTGACCAGCTGCATTGTGTTGCGGGGCGACTCCAAAACGTCAATCACATGGCGAGCGGTGATCCCGTTCCGCTGGCAGAATCGTTGCAAGATGTTGATGCCCTTCGGGGTGAGCTGGTACAACGCGCCCTTCAACGGAAATATTTGCGACGCCTTGCCGTCCACTGACTCGATAAAGCGGGCGTCGACAAACCGCTGGCATACCGAGCGAGCCATTTCCTTTGCCATGGAGAACGTGGTGGTCGTGGTGGTCGTGACAATGCGGGAGGGGTCTTTCGGGTCGGGCATGCGATTCGATTGGGAGAACTTGAGGGAGCCCAGGTTGTTGATGGCTTCTTCCGATGTGAATGAGTGGTCATATTTCGTAAACCGTACGCGGTGCGAATCCAACTTCAAGCTGACCATCAACGTCGAAAACAGGTCCATGAAGTCCTACAAAAAAAAAACCATGCGCGTTAACATAACCGCCCCGTGTGTTCCTTTTTTTTTCCCCTTACGAAAAATTCCTCTCTACCCTGTCTAGCCATTCAGCGCACAGCTGGGTAACCTTACCTTTGTGAAAGGACGATCATCCTCCGTCATACGCAGCAACCGCGAGGATGTTTGATGCATCTTGGCGGGTGGTGCGGGCGATTCAAATTCCGGCAACTGCTCAAGTGGGGACGGGGCACGCTGGATAGTCTGACGGCGCCTGTCAACAAAACTCGCCTGCGGTTCGATCACGGCCGAACGGTGGGTGGCGGAGTCGATGGGCGAGTGGTCACTGCTGGCGCTGCCGTCGGACAATGGCGGAGTCAAGGGCGTGGCGGCACCTGGCAGTTCGCTGATGCTGATCTGCGAGGCCTTGCGCGAGTGCTTGGACAGGCTTCCGGACGAGGCAGAGGAGCGGAGGGGGTAGCTCGGGGCACCAATGGCGGAGAGATTGGCAAGAGCGTTGGAGGTCTTCTCACGGGCTAGCGCAGCGAACGAACGGCGATTGCGACGCGAGATGGATCCAATGACCGAGCCGGTGAAGCTGGACGGGGTGGTGGTAGTGAAGGAGTTGGAGTTGTTGGAGGAATAGGTGGTGGTGGCGGGTTGGGAGGGGGCGACAACCGAGGGTGCGGAGTGGTGGTGGAATGAGGCTGCGGACAGCGTGCGAGGGCGAGCTTCAGCCGGGGAGGTAGAGACTGGGATGGGAACGGCAGAGGATCGGGGAGGTTGAGGGTAATGAAGGAGGGAGGGGGAAGGAGGAGAGGCTTGGTCGAGAGGAGCGGAGGATATGGTTGGCATTGAATAGTGCGAACCAAGACGACGGAGTGGGAGCAAGAGGAAGGAGGGGGGGTCTGTATGTATGTATGTATGTAAAGAAAAAAAAAATTGGAGAGGGAAAAAAAGAGAAAAAGGAAAAAGGGTAAAACGGAAAAAGGAAAAATAAAATTGTTTTGGAAAAGGGAGAAGAGGGTCAAGGGGAGAGAGAGAGAGGGAGGAGGGGGGGGGGGGGGGGGCAAAGAGGAAAGAAGGGTGGAGGGGTGGGTGTACGGTGATGTATGGATAAGGGAAAAAAAAAGAGGGAAGGGGAAATAATAATAAAATAAAACACGAAATAATAAAATACTACCCTTTCCCAGAGCTGGATGGAACTGGAACTGGAAGGCCCAAAAATCAACGGGAATTGGAATCAACCAAAAAAAGGCAAGAGAAAAAAAAATAAAAAAAATAACCCAAGGACGAAAAAGGAAGCGGGGAACTTGGCTCTCTTGGTTCAGTGGTTCAGTGGTTCAGTAGGTGAGTAGTTGTGGAAGTGGGAGTAGTAGTTAGTCAGGTAGGTAATAATAATAATTATAATTGTACGGGCGGTGATCCAGAGTTGGAGTCAGTCGGCCTTGGCTTAGGCTTTGGCTCTTGGTACAGCGGGTGACGGTGTACCGTATGGGTCCCTTACAGCGAGCGAGCAGAAAGAGGAAGCAAAAGAATGGGGATGGAGAGGGAAAGAGGGAAAGAGAAGGGAAAGGATGAGCAAAGAGGGAGACGGAGTGAGCGAGCGAGAAAGCGAAAAGCGCGAGCGCAAACGCAAGAGGGTCTCTCCCAGGGGCGTGAAGAAACAGGCCTGTCATTCCCGACCCACTGTGCACGCGGACGGTTTCATGCACCAGACAACGTGGGCCAAGGGCAAAGGTGGACGGATCGTCCTTTGGGGCGATCAGAGAAGGCCGGCTTCCCTGCAGAGTCCGGCAGGGTGGGATGTCTGACTCTGGTATGGTACGGGAATCACTCCCCGGAGAGCGGCTGTTAGCCTGCCACTCTGATACACGCCGTACTCAGGTAGGCAAAGTACAGGAAGTAAGGTTCCTACGAGCTACAGCTGCAGCCTTCATCTAGTGTCCGACTGCTGCTTCATCCTCATCATCATCATCATCTTCGCCAAGTCTGACATGAGGATGGATGCTTGAACATCAATTGAGTTAAATCTCCTCTGTCAAGTCTCCCCTCCTTGCCTGTCATGGTCGCATGCAAGGAGATCCCTGGCCGGGGAGGGGCGACCAGGGCAATCTTACCCTCGGTCGGTATCTCTGCGTATCGTACCTGGGTCACGTACGTACCGTACCATTATTTCTTTGCGCCCTTCCCAAAACTGCTGGCATCGGATGATCCGCGGAATCGACACTGGGGAGGGTTTCACCCAGATCGCTGTCCTCGGGATGGATAATATGGATAAATATATCGTCAGCCGTTCACCACGAAGAAGCGTAGGTATCTACCTTCTCCTACAAGACCTACTGGTAGGTAAGTACACCGTACTACTACTGTAGGACCATCGACACACTAACCGCTGCAGCGCAATCGACAGGCTGCACACGACCTGATTGGTGTATCTGGCTAGTAGTGATCATTAGTAAGGCGCCTCTTCAAGTCCCACCGTATCTCTTATCATATGACGACGAGATCGCTCTGGAGAAAGTCCGGGCTTGTGCACTTAAAGTTCCCGAGTCAGGTATCCAGTACCAAGCTCGGCACGTTATCCCTTCCAATCGCCTGGAACGGCTCTAGAACGGCTCTGGAGTCCGAGGATCACTGGAGTTGGCCAGCCAAAAACGTGGCCGACACGCTTGCCTGCCTGTACAACTCCTTTTCCCCCCCAGTAATAATCGACCAGGATGATGGTTGCTGGTTGAAAGCCGAGCCGTCACGTTACCAAGCACCTTCCCTTCTCAGCTAAGCAGCAAAGCAGTAAAGCAATACGGCCAGCAGGCTGGCGGGCCCCCATGCAGTAACGATCGGCCCTCATTGAGTCATTACCGGGAAATCCCCCAAAGCCCGTCAGCCAGTGAGCGAGGCTCGTCACGAACACTTGCAGCACGGCTCTTTCCAAATGCGGTCTAGCGTGCCACTAGCACCAGACGATGCTCGGATTAGGTGTCTGCTCGCAATTACGCTGGCGAACGCCGACCGACGGATTTCCCCACTGGGAGCCTGGTTGGGTTTGGGACTTGACGGGGTTTAGCAACTCTGCCTTCACCTTGGGCCCTGGATGGTTGGGTGGTTTGTGTTTGTTGTGTTTCGGGTGCATCTGCCAGATATACATCTGGCTGGCTTTTAGGCTTCATCAATTGATGACATGCTAGTCTGGGATGGGATGGGATGCGATGGGCTACTGGCTCTGGCATAGCGTGCGAACACCTCCTGGGGCCGTCCAGCTTGTTCACAGTGTTACTAACTTCCCTTCCCTGCCAAGTGCTAAGTGCTAAGTGCTAACCTTCCCTTTGCCCACGTGGGTATCCCGCCCGAACAAAACCTTGCTGTTTCGATTTGAACCAAGCGAACCAAGCAATTCCCTGACGCCGATCAGCACCTATTATTGTTACTGCTGCGATGGAGTACTTACTCCGTACTATCTACTACCGAGATGTGGTCCTCCGTATCGATCTGCCCGTCGCGATAGACTCACGCCTGCCTGCAGTTCCAGGGCATGGGAGAGAAGAGCCACGATAATGATACATCGTCTCCTGCAGTGGAGTAGGATTGATTGCTATCTATCTGCCCTACAAACAAATTCGTCCGGGACTATTGGCGGTGCTGCATATGATGTATCCCAGGCACCCGGCCATCCGTCCGGATCATGCCTCAATAATGTGATCAAGGGCGATCCGGTTTCAGAACATCCCTACTCGAGCAGGAGTAGTAGCAGCAGCAGTAGCAGCATCCAAGACAGAGAGAGGGACGCCGAGGCCCAAAGGGACAAACGGTGGAGCAGGCAGGATGGGACATGGGCATGGGTGTCCCGTGTGGCGGAGTCGACAGCCTCGTATCCTCGCGTGGTTAAATTAGACGAATGAACATGGGGCTGGAGAAGGCATCCTGGCGGCCTTCTCTGAGGTTCAGTGTTGCGTCTCCCGCCGTTCCACGACTCTTCCAGGTGTATTCTTTCGACCCATGCGGTTCCACGTGGATACACGTGGAGAAGAGCTGCTGGCGGCTGGGCGGCTGGTTTGGGTTGGGTTGCGCGGGCGGCTTGGCTGTGTCGGCCGTTTGGCCTCGCCCGTCGGTGTGTCTCGCACCCTCTCTCCGTCGCAAGTTCACAATATCGTCATTAGTCCGCTATCATCACTTTCGGGGTCCAAGCCCAAGCGTTCCCCCCCATGATTGGACCGTCGCTTTCACCGGGCGCAGCGGATTCGTCCTGGCTTTCACCCCCACGATCCATCTACGACTAAGTACTATCCCTACGAAGGAAGATGGACGATCCTCTAGCTCCCCAGCTAGGCGATGTCATTCCAGTCCGTGTGTTACTCGGGACTCCGTACAACGATGGGCTAACGGAATCGATAGGTGCCTACGGACTGGTCATACCGCTATGACATACATGCCGGATCGGCTGGGGGTGGGCAGGCTTAAGGATCATCCATCTTTCTCCAGTCTCCAGGCCCGTACCTCATTGTTGGGACGACGACAACAAGGTTCGCAAGGGTGGCCCAATTCCTGAATCTTGCTAGAAGGCCGCTAGGGGTTTTAGACCCGTACCAGCGTGCGCCTGTGTCAGCTCAGCCGCGGCTAGATAGATACACACTCACTGGCCCCTGCCAGACGGAATGGGGCGGCGTCTATAGGTACACAACTGGGCAATTGCGCAGCCCACCCGATCATTGGCCCTGTCCGCCACAAAGTCAAAACCCCTCAGAGGGACAAAGAAGGAGGAGGGAGGAGCAATGGAATCCTGCCAACTCACAGTTCGATCCTTCTGCTCCTGAGGCTCCTCTCCTGCGTGCTTACTTTTACTCCAGACGCAAGGTCTGATCGCGTAGGAATGCATCTGACATGCGCCCCAGCCGGCTAGCTACAGCGGCGCAGGTCGTTTGGTCTCTTCGTTAACCTGGCGGGGGAGAGAGTTTCACAGAGAGCGGTCAGATGTTGGGATGTACCAATCACACGGGGCCGGGCCGGCTGCTACGTAATTATTACTCTACTCGAGAATAATAATCGCCTGCTCACGATCAGATCCCCTCAGACAATCTATCTAGTACTAACCGTAATCTGCGTATGTATCTGTTGGAGTCTCCACCGTCTACTCAGATACTGGGCAACAGTGGGCTCCGAGTCTGGTGACTTGCCTATCAGACGGATCCACCAATTGAGGAACACGAAGCGGTGAGCCATGAGGGCCCTGGAAGAACAAAAGAAAAAAGAAATGGCGTACTCCCGTTTCGGAGCTATCGACCCTCTCCGCCGGGAGACAAAGTTGCGGTAAGGACCTTGCTGAAAGTTTGGAACCCACTTTTTCCCTCCGTAGTAGATATCGGCATAATGTCTGAGCGCAGGTATTATTATGATTCTTCATTGCACGACAAATTACTGGACTAGATACTGCCCACAGACCGGGTTCTTTAATCGCACAGCAGCAGAAAGAAGTGCATCAAACGCGCGACGACCGTCAGCCAGTCGATGAAAATAGCAATCGAACAGAACCAGGGGGCCGAATCGGTAGCTTCCTGCTCGCAGAAGCGATAGCTTCAATCCTCCTGCATGACAGCATGTACGGATGCTTCTAGAGCTTTTTTTTTTTCGCATTCCCCGGGGAGGGGGGCACTCAGCTGCGCGACTAGTCGGTCGATGCCCACGGAGGAGCAAGCTCCCAGTCAGAGACTCAGAAGATCCCTGACCGCCACGCGACGAGCAATGCGGTTGACAGGGATGATCCCGCCGGGACAGATGGCAAGGCTGAGTCTAGAATGATCACCTACCGCTGACCTATCTACAGCATCCCAATCTGAAGCTCGCTATTATTATTATTGTTGTTGTTGTTATTATTATTATTATTATTATTATCATTATCGAATTGCTGCCTGTTCGTGGGAATTCGCGTGTTTGCGTGGCGCATCGGACTATCACCAAACATCCCTGTCCAAGCGTTTGGCCGCCAAGCCGAGAGTCAGTCGCGTTTGGTTTGTGGCTTGACCCCGAGTCAGACATCTCGGGGCTAGACCACGGTATCAGTGCGCCTCCTTCTCAACTTTGTTTGAAACTCTCTCTATGGTCAAGACTACTATCTAAGAGAAGCTGTCATGGTGTCACCATGCTGAACTCTTTTTTTTCCGTCTGCCTATCACTCAGGGGTATGTGCGTGTCTCTCAAACTTAACTGCCCTTCAAGTCAAGTCAAGTCTTGGATCTGTCCATGGTACGCATGACTTAGAATTTCTCAATTCAGAATATGGAGTGATACACTTCCCGTCTCTCCACCAACTCTGACACCGCATCCTTCCTCCATCAGCCCATATGGCAACCCCATCATTCTGTAATCTGCAGCCTGCAGTCTGCACACAACTTCTATCTAGTACATAGAAAAAAAAAATAATGAACCACGTAATGCAAGTGGAATGAGGCATGCCCACGTCCACACCCACGCTAGTCGCCGATATATGCACCATCCCGATAATAGCCGGAACAGGACACGGCACTTCACACCCCCATCCATCCATCCAATCCAATATCCAATATCCAATATCCATCTCTTGGCTCTGTGACAAACCGGACCGGACTGGACTGGGATTGGCTCCGACATATCATGATCAACAGCTATACGACAGGGATTCGACTCCCTCATCTGTAGCTATCGGTATGGCTGGCTGGATTTGATATCCGATGATCGACACCATACGTCAACCTCCCATATGGCGAACGGGGCTACCGTACATATTGTACTATGCTACTTTCGACAGGATCGACGGTCAGTCAGTCAATCAATCAAACCCAAGCGAGATTTTATATCCGCTGATTAATATTAAGTTCTTAACTATCATAATATTAATTCCGGCATATCGACCCATTTTATAGAGGTAGTATCTTCGGGATTTGCATCTATATGCCATGTCTTATTATTTTTCTTAGGTACTTCCTGTGTCATTATCATTCTCCTCCCCTGCATCCCCTTCCAACCTTCTACCGTGGTTCCATATTGTACGTAAAGCATACTGACCGCACCCCGCCACACACGGCCATACTACTTCTCCAGGAGTATCCATAATAATACCATCTACGTACGGTAGCTTAGCTTGCCTACGGCCGTTTCCAGCAGTAAACCTGCAGAAGTGGATCAAGACAAGCTACAAGTAGCTCGAGACGGGCGCACTACCTAGATACCTGCCTTAGTCTGGGACCACCTCACTGACAAACAACATAGATAGATAGATACATAACATCTAAACGACAGAGCGGGGGGATGGATCATGGATGAGTCTCTGGTCTCAGTCTCAGTATCAGTCTCAGTATCCATCTCGCAAGGGCGCACGCAGGCGGGGACTTTTATTGTCCCCGCACAGCAATAAGTTCTCCGTACAATGCCTCAATATATCTAGCTAGGCAGCAACTTCAATACTAGTAAATCGATACATCCACTTTTCTTCACTATTGATGGTCACCTACCACGGATATACAGCGCCACCAGATAAACATCCTTACATATGTGTAAGTACTAGGTAAGTAGTTACCTAGATACGTAGGTACTAACTAGATAGATAATTAGACATTCAAACCCTAATCAGGTCCCTCACCTGAAACACATCGCACAGTCTAGAACCACGGAACCCTTCTGTATAGTGTTCTTTACCACCGAGTGAGGTATCTCCTCCGTCCGTAAGTAAGTATGGAGTAGGTACAGAAGCATGGCAGCCACCACCGCCGCCGCCGCCCCGAAAAGCGGTCAATCAACTCCAACAACCCAGTTCCGGTCCGGTTTTGCGGGTCCTTAGGTATTTCTTGGCGGGCGGTGGAGGGGATAGTGGGGAATCTTGAAGAAGGAAAACCAAAACCAAAACCAAAACCAAAACCAAGACTAAACCGAAAAAGGAAAAGAACAGAAAAAAGAAAAGCCCGGATACCTTGCTAACAACCATGCTATGCTAACATTATGGGTGGAGCTCTCTAAGTACTTTGACTATGTTAGTGTTCCCAGTAAAAAAAAAAAAGGAAAGTAAAAAGTGGGTTGCCTAGGTTAACCCACATGGTCAGTACGGAATCCCAGATACTACCTAAGTACCTACCTAGTACGGAGTACCACTGTACCTACCTAATTTGTACGACCAAGAAAAAAAAAAACACCCACTATAATGAGAGAAAGAGAGAGAGAGAAAAAAAAAAAAAAAAAAAGAAGCTCTCATGGAAGGAACCAAGTTTCTTTCGGCCGCAGGAGAAAAAAAAAAGAAGAGGAGCCACCGCCACGAGCGCGTCTACCTGTTTTTTTTTTTTTTTCTTTTTTTTTTCCCTTGCGCCCGGGCGGATAAAGACTATTACTGTTAAGGTAGTATGTACCGAGGAAAATGTGAAAAATGTCGTCATAATAAATGGATAGCGGAGCGAGTGGTGGAAAAATTTTCCTTTGATGATAAGTGTTTGTTGTATTTTCTCGGCGTTTGTTGGACAGGATGAGGACGGAGGACGGACTTGGAGGAGGCGAGGGGCGCGGTCGGACGGTCGGACGGACGGTCAAACCGTCAAAGGATGTCGGACGGTGAGCTTAGTTGGAGTAAGTACGGAGTACCTAGGTAGGTAGGTAGGTAGGTAAACTATCTAGACCTGAACTTAGATAACTAAGTGGTAGCAGTTTAATACAAAAGCAGTACTAACTACTACCTATCTTAGACCTACTACTAGGTAAGTAAGTAAGCAAGCAAGTAAGCAGCAAGTTAATTAGTTAGACAGTGTTAAGTAGTAAAGCCACAGCAAAAGGCGGAATGTTCCGCCGCGAGATTGGCCGATCGGACGGAATAGAGTTTCTGGGATATTGCAACCGTGTGTCTTAGTTCGTGAGTCTATTCTGGACACCAACTAGATACTACTATCTAGTAATTATACACTCCTGAACCTCTCTGACTCTGAGTCTGAAGTCTGGATAGACTGACCCGGTACGCGGTACCTGATTCACAGCTGAAACCCCTGACAACCACAACCACAACCCCAACCCAGAAACTCAATCCGCGTGGCGTTTCCGCAAAATAATAGGTACAGTCCAAGCCAACGGAGCAACGGATCAACGGAGCAAACGGCGGCGCGCGTCTCCGCGGCGTTTAACCCCTGACCCAAACCATCATCCCATCAGCCATCAGCCATCAACCATCCATCCATCGACCATCGGCATCAACCAAATCCAGAGACCAAATCAAACCAAGCCAACGCATAACCGACCCACCCATTGGACAACTGGACGACCCGGGTTTCGGGTTCCTGCGTCGCGTCGCGTTGCGTTTTCGGACAACAAGCCTGAAGCGCCGATGCTTGGTCAGACAGACAGACAGACAGACGGTTAGACAGCCTGCCAGGTTGTCTAGTGTCTATTCTAGATGGTGCTCCTTACTTCGCAGTGTCCAGAGCCAACCCATTAATAGAACAACCTGAACAACCCAAACCCATCACTCGGGTTTTCCGAAATCTCGGTTGTCGGAATAGCCAAGGGGAGGGGTGGCAGGGGGGCGAAGGATTCAGGATTCAGGATTGTTAAATCCTAGCAAATGAAGGGGGGGATGAACTAACTACC